TGTTCTTGTGTTCTATATTAGTAGCACTATATTATTATTATTATTACTTTCACTACATTACACTATTTTCAACCGACTTCAAAAAGGAGGAGGTTCTCAATTCGACTGTATGGTTTTTTTTTTAACACTACACTAACTCAAAAGGTTTAGTTCTTTTGAGCCTTCTCACTATGTCCGTGTTGTCGAGGAGCTGGATTGCCTCGATATTCACATGTTCATGAAGTCTTTGCTCGTGAGCTTCTGCTTATTTTTTTATCACATCGACAATCTCTGCATTGAGGTCCTGATGAAGATCGTCATTTCTTACGTACCAGGGTGCATTAACTATTCCCCTGAGAACTTTGTTTAGGAATCGTTGGATGATAAGAGCATTACTCTTTTTGGTACAGCCCCACTGCTGTATACCATAGGTCAACACTGGCATCAGGACTTGTTTATATAATAATATTTTGTTGTGTACGGACAGAGAGGAATGTCTTCCCAACAGCCAATACATCTTAGGTGAATCGCTAGTAACAATATAAGTAATACTTATTAGTAGTTTTCATTCATTATGTTTTACCGACAGACACAGTGCCGGATTCAACCTTAGCGTCGCCCCTGGGCACTGTAAAAAATGCCACCCTATTATCGAAATTATGCATAAAATGCATAAGGTTTCGATAAATTTTAATTATTTATTTTTTTTAATTAAAAAAGAAATATTTATAATTGATTTCAGTTTTTCAAAAACTGTGCCTACTAGTTAATCTTTTTTAATAATTTATTTTTTGGAAAATAAAAAAAGCATTTTCGATAACGTGAAGAAATTTTTTTCCCGCGCTCCGAATTTTGCTACACCTAAAAAAATTTTAAAACTATTTTAAGTTTTTATGTATTTTTTTCTGTGGCGTAAATAAGACAAAAACATTGGCAGCTGGCACAATGACAACTGATAAATATAATGCTGATTACCCAACTTAGGCGCTTTCCCTTCAAATTCAGGGGTAAAAAATGCACCAGGGATGAAAAATTATATATCTTTAAAAATCATTTGCATAATTTATCCTTTTTTTATTGTTTTCTAAGTATATATCTAATGGTTACATGTAATTATTATAATAAAAACCATAAATAAGTTTTTTACACTAATTGTAATCATTTAAAATATTATAATATTTATATAATTTCAAGTGTTGGCAACATTGTGCTGATTTCTGACAAGTGACAATAATTGACAAATCACAAATGCCAAAAAACTGCAAAGTTGCAACTTGCAAAGTGATCTGAAAGCAGCCCCGGCCGAGCTCCATACAAGCGCATATTCATAAAACCGAAGGCGAATAAGACGAAGCGGGGGCCGGGGGGGTCAAGATAGTCAAAGAAAGATTTTCCCTATTTAACCATTATAAATTAAAAATAGCTACATGGGATATGTTAATTAATATCTTATTATATTATAAAATATACTTAAGTTAAATATGCTTAAAATGTTTTTTTTTATAAATCATATGTGCTATATATTGATTTATATAATTATATTCTAAATGATTTTAACTATTATCGAATATCTTATATTTTAATTATATTTCATATCAAACATAAAATATCTATTAACATAGGTTTTTATGTTATAAAAATTGATTTATATTTTAGAGCTGTGTCATGAATTTGCCTTAATATGGGGACAGTTATGGCATAAATGGCAAGTCAAAATATGCTGTCACTTTCACGGCTATTGTATTTCTTTTGAGTCGCCACGCATCTCTTTCTAAGGGTATGACGTCATATGCGAATCTGGGAGAATTTAGTTCGTAGTGATGTAAAAATCGGTATTCATTACGATTACGATTAAGTAGGGATGTATTTTATCGTAATGTTATCGGTATTCAACAACTGTTATCGGTTTTATAGTAAGGTTTTCATTTTTATGATATTAATTATAATTAGAAATAAAATACAAAGATAGGTTTCTAGTTTTTTTATTTTACTATTTTAATGCTACCACTAGTTCGGAAAAATGCCTCAGACCTGAGAAGAATTAGCAAGGACTGAGGTCCTTGACGGGATAACCTTTTTTTTCTTAACATTTATAATACATTGTTATTACAATAAAAGGACATTTTTAAAGAATTTTATCAATTGAATACAAAATACAAAAGATAATAACAATGAGACGAAGACTAATACAACGATTTGGTATAAAATATTACAATGCAATAAAATTAGAAGTAACATAGAACAATAGTTTTTGTTAATAACAATATCATATTAAGCGAGTAGTAGGTTTAATTGTAGGTATTAATTAAAATCTAGCTTTTGTTTGAAGTTTTAGCTCTAGAACCACCTTCATCTTCAGTTTATAAAATGCAAACATTCGAGATTAGCGCATTTGAAAAAACAAACATTTTAATCTTATATAAATTAAAAAAAAAATGCAAATTTCAGTAAAAAATGAATAATAAAATTAATTTTCTTAAAAGGTTAAGAAATTTAAAATCAATATGTACATAGTAATAGTAAAAATTTGGTGTAAAAAGAAATAACAGCTAAACATACTCTAAAATAAAATTTCTAAATGCATAGTTCTATCAAATGTAACAATTATAATTAATATATTAAAATTATATACTGCTATAGTAGTATATTTTAAGAAATTATAATATTATTTCACAGAAATCAATTGAAATATTCATACATTATTTTTATACTTAATAGAAACATAATGAAAATGGAAAATTCCAAGTGATTATCTTTTAAATAACCAAGAAATGAAACAAACAAGAGTAATAAATATTAAAAGTTAATTAATGAAAAAATATTGGAAAACCATTCACTACTCTGAAGACTAGATGAGTTCAACCATAGCTAGGCCCTTCTGAAACTTTCATATTAAGCAAATTTTCTATTTCCAGACCCTTTTTTCTCGAATCCACTTTATGCATTCTTCAATTAAAATTTATACACCTATGTCTAACTTTTATACATATCATAAATAATGAGAATGCTCTTAAAAATATTTCTCTATGATCTACACAAGTGTACCAAGAGGTATCAAGATTTTCAAATGCTTTTATTAAATCGGGAAATATGTAAACTTTACAAATCTTTGGTAATTGTCTTTTAATTATGTAAATTGCATACCATACTAGAGATGACAGATTCTTAGAAGGATCATGTATTTTATTATTAATGAATAAAATAATCTCAGCTGTGAATAAGCCATTCTCAATATTTACATTTAATGTATTACAATAATTGTGTTCTTCCTGGAAACTAAAAGCCTTTATCAGGAGACTTATAGATGTTGAAACACTTCAACTGCTGAAACACCTGCGCAGCATATACTTCACCTGTAAATATATTATTATAATAAATTAATGTAATACAACAAATAGTCACCATAACTATATAGTATATGAACTAGTAACTACTGTAGATGAATAGTAGCTTATTTAAATATAGTAATAGTTTAGTATTATTAGGGTCTAGGTAGATAAGCCAATTAGGCCCTTAAATAGCTGTTAACATTATACAATAGATAGGCTATAGAGTTGATAAATTGTTTTTAATGGACTGAGCATTACATGGATAAGTGCATTCAAACAATAAACAAACTATTCAATTTTACATATTAGAATAGAATAGTATAATAATAAATAGTATAATAATATCAATAGCTTCAAGAAGTTTCCTTCTTAAAAACAATTTCATATTAAAGATAATATCCAAGATCTAAAGTAATATAATAATATCTTAATTTACTAAACTTAACAATATAGTTACCTTCATCTTAACAAAAGAGTTTGGATAAATATGCCTGTCAGTAAGTTTGTTAGCCTTGCAGCACCTTTATGGTCATCTACTTTATACAACATATAAACATAATCCCATTGAGCATGCTGACTGCCAAGGAGCAAATTCTTTTTCTGAAAATTATTACTGAAACATTTCAGTAAATGAGGTACATCATACTTATGATAGGTTTTGTTCCCACTTCCCATTAACTTCATAATGGATAGCACTTGATGCATCATTGGCACTACAAAGTATATTTACCTTAGTATCAGAAATTAATGAATTTATTGCAGCTACATTGGCAGAAACCTGGTCAGATAGTTACTCTAGAAATAAACCGTTTATAAGAATTTCTATAAGTATACGTTATAAAATTGAAGTGCATCTTTATAAGGCATTCTATGGCATGAAAAACCTTCTGTTCCTTCCTGACAATTCGGAATTACAATGCTTTCCCATGATTACACAACATTAATAAAAAACCAAAAAAAGGAAGAGAAACACTAATGAAGAAATAACACATTTTGTATCCAAGCACAAATCTTAACTATATCACTGAATCACTGATCTACATTAATCAGCACTTATCCACATTAATTAATACTAATCTACAAATTGATAAAATGTAAATTTTAAGTGTAAAATAATATAAAAAACGGCAAGCCCTCACACCCTAGTCCCCAGGGGCGAGTAATAACGACGGTTAAAACTTGAATATTTCAAAAATGACAAAATATTGCAGTGACGTCACAGTAGTGACGTATGTAACTGCGACAGAAATAAGTTGTTGTCCCACTCGTTGTCGCCAAATGTAGAGATAGCATGCTAGTTACCAAGCAAATGAAAGGGATAGATAGATGCACCAAGAGCTCGTATGGAACTAATTCATCTATTTTATTTGTCATCCATGTCTGAAAGTTTTATATATGTAGCAAATAGCAATATACTCTATGCTGAAAGTTGAAACAGATCAAGAACAACAAGATCTGAAATCTTAAAACTCTGAATTCCGATTATTCTGAATTCATGCAGAATTCTTGTTAGAACTTAGATTATTTATTACCTCTTTACAGAAAAAAGTTATTAAGATTAATATTCAAAATATAAAGTGTCAAGTTTATTATTACATGATTTCAAATTATATTTTATGTCCTAGAAGATTAGTGAACTTCATAGCACCAATCTCAATTTGCCGGAATAAATCTGTGAATTTTGCCAAAACAATGGAGAATTCTCATAAAATAAAATTATCTGAAAGACTATCTTCATTAGTTTGCCCTAGACATTATCAATTGTATTTAAAACCTAATTTAGAAACGGGGCTATTTCATGGAGAAGTTAAAATAGACATAAATGTTAAAGAAGATAAACAGTTTTTAGCCCTTCACACAAAATTTTTAGACATCAACAATGTGAAATTATGTAAAAATGATGTTGAAATATCTGTATCAAAATATTTGGAAGTGAAATCTTTGGAACAACTACTCATTCAATTTGATAAAATTACTTCAGGCAATTACCAATTAAAAATAAAATTTAGTGGTAATCTAACTCGTAATATAGTTGGGTTTTATTTATCACACTTAAAAAATAAAGGGTACTTAACATATTTAAATCCAATTTTCTATCGCTTTGAGGATAATTCAAGATTTGTTAAATAAATAATTTAAATTTTCCAGTGCGATGGTAGCAAGTAAATTCCAGCCGACTTATGCTCGCCAAGCATTTCCATGTTTTGATGAACCTGAATTTAAAGCAACATATAATATCACCTTGGTCAAACCTTTGGATTATGTGGCACTCTCTAATATGAATGTAAGATAAGTTTTTACAGGTAATTAAATTAAGAATAACACAACTCTTAAATTGATAATAATATAATCATTGCTTTACAATGATAAATATACTCTATCTAAATTAACTTTATATTTCTTGAGTTTTAAATTTTGTTTTATTTTGTAAATTGGCTTCCTAAAATCATCAAAGTATAATTTTAATTAGTTTGATTTTCAGCAATTTATTGTTTTATCTTATGTAATATAGTGTTATTTTAACTTTGTTGTTGTAAGACATTTTAATTTTATTTAATATGGTGTGCATTTTTAGGAAGTCTCTAAAGTCATAGATACATCCACTAATACTGAAGCAGTAACATTTGCTACAAGTGTGCCAATGTCAACATATTTAGCTTGTTTTGTTATTTGTAACTTTGATTATAAGGAGGTCAAAGTTAATACAAATGGAATTGGGTCGAATTTCAATTTAAGGTCATTTGCACAAAAAGATCAAACACATAAAATTGATTTCGCTCAAGACATTGGAAAAAGAGTCACAGAGTATTATATTCAATATTATGAAGTTCCCTTTCCACTACCAAAGCTGGGTAAGATATACTTGGTCATAAAATACAAAATAAATATTTTTAAAATGAATATTTTTATTTTATTAAAATTAAATGACAATAGATTTTATTTTTTGCAATTTATTATACAAAAATGCATAAAATAATAAATATATTACTATATTAAATCAGTATGTAACCTTGATGAATAATCTTTTCTTATTTTTATTCCCTTTATAAGTTTAGGTTGCTTATAATAAATGAAATATATTTTCAGATATGATTGCAATTCCTGATTATGTGTCTGGTGCAACTGAACATTGGGGTTTGATCACATATAGAGAAACATCATTCCTTATTGATGAAGCCACAGCATCTTCTAGAAATAAAATCAGTGTTGCGAACACAGTTGCTCATGAATTAGCACATATGTGGTTTGGTAATTTGGGTAAGTTGTATTAACGGGTCAAGTTTTTGTTTAAATTACTTATGTCAGATATAATTATGTTCCCCCCCAAAGTGCGTTCACCTTGTCGTGGTGGGGGGGCTCAGTAGTGCCCGGCAACCCAACCGGGCGCGAAGCCAAGAAACGCACAGGGAGGTGGCCCACTTCGGTGGGCGGTGGGAGGTGGCCCTCTTCGGAGGGCAGTGTACCATGCGGGTTGCTCCTGGTACTTCTCTGATAGCAGAGTGGACCTTGGAGCAACCCCGTGATTGTTGTGGTCTGCTTCGGCAGACCTGCCGTCGGGGCGTCGTAGTTGAATGCGTAAGCGATCCTGCGACGCCCCATTAAGACGGGGGAAGGCTTTGTTGGGTTTTAGTGGGTAGTACTGGTTTTGCCGGTGAGTCCCACACCTCGTGCGTAAATGCATTTCCCAACGTTAAAAAAAAAAAGATATAATTATGTTGTTAATAATTAGAGAGGCGCCGAATAATTGGCCGAATATTCGTATTTGGTATGTTCGGCGCTATTTTATATGTTCGTATTCGGCCGAATACTCGGTTAAAACGCCGAATAATTGTCGAATATTTTTAACCCCCGACGCAAAAAGAGGGGTGTTATAAGTTTGACGTCGATGTCTGTCTGTGCGTGTGTGTGTGTGTGTGTGTATGTCTGTCTGTCTGTCCGTCTGTGGCATCGTAGCTCTCAAACGGATGGACCGATTTCGATGCGTTTTTCTTTTCATTTGAAAGCCAGTTTCCTTGCGGTGGTTCTTTGCTATGTTTGGTTAATATCGGTCCAGCAGTGTAAGAGTATAGCTCTTTTCCAAAATGATGTAAGGCATTTTGGCGTATGAATTCTCGATTAAGTGCTTCACGCGTGCCAGTGTAATCGTTAAATTACTCGAATTTGCGTAGGGGGATTTTTTAATTTTTAATTTTGATAGTATTATGTTAAGATTTATAATTATTTCAATAAATAAAAAAGGATTTACAATAAGAAATACATACTCGTAGTATGTGAATACTATGAAACGCCGACAAATTAAAGTAACAAATATTTAAAAAAATCTACAAAATTGGTTTTTAATATACTTAAATCAACATTTGTTTTCCAACAAATAAAAGTGAGTTTTTGCACATTTACAGCATAGCTGTTATCAAAAATACCGACACGTATAAATTACACGTTTACTACGTAAAAATGAACCGAATAATTCGGGCGAATGTTCGGTTCGATACATTTTGAACCGAATATTCGTATTCGGTTGAACCCATATTCGGCGCATCCCTTATAATAATGATAGATAATATTTCTTTATTCTTACAGTTACGATGAAGTGGTGGGATGAAGTTTGGCTAAATGAAGGCTTTGCATCATACATGCAGGTTAAATCTTTGAATGCAGTAGAACCTTCATGGACAATGGTAATATAACTTGAGATTTATTACGTTGTACACTTTTGTATATTATGTTTTTGCACCACAGGTAATAGGACTCAGTCAAGCCTGAGGAGTCCGACTGGCTGGTTACTACTGCCTTGTGATTTACTCAAACCGCAATACAATAATGATTGCACGTTGCGTTCCGGTTTGAAGAATAAGGTAGCCAGGACAATAACAGGCAAGAGGAATATCATCTTAGTCCTCAGAGTGACATCTTGTTACATAACATACCGCTTTCCATTAGATCGGCTGTTGCTCGTTTATCACTGAGCACCATAAAGAAAACTACTTTATAAATTAATACTTGAATTAACAATAATTTAATTTTTTATTTTAAGATTTAAATATAAATTTACATAAATCAGATATTTCTTCTTGCAGTTGGACCAATTTTTAACTAAAACTCTGCATTCAGTGTTGGTTACCGATGCTAAGCTTTCAAGTCACCCAATAGTTCAAACTGTTGAGACACCTGACCAGATAACTGCCATTTTTGACTCTATATCATATAATAAAGTAAGTAAAACAATTGTATAAATAATACTACTGAGTTTTACATTTTTCCCTTGTGTCGTAGATTATAATAATTGGTATTTTAATGTCTTGAAGCTAGGCAGCAAAATATTTTTTTTTTCTAAAACCTTATAAGTATAACCATATGCTTTAATAACTACCTAGTTATATATCAAAAAATTCAAAGTTTTCATGAAAAATTCTAATCCTATAATAAATTTTATTGAAAAATTTCAAAATCTGTTTGTTTTTTTAATATTAATTGAATTTCATTCAAGACCATTAAGTTGTTACAGTGTTAATAAAAACAGACTTTGAAATTATAATATTATATGCTATAAATAAAATATGTTAGAATTATTAGTTATTGACTTCAAAATATGTGTAAGTAATTAATTCCAATGTATTTGTTTTTGAGGGAATGCTATAAATAATATATCATTCCCAATAATATAATGTCTAGATCAATTGAATACAGGTAGGGAACCCTATTACTAAGTCTCTGCTGTCCGTCTGTCTGTCAGAGGGCTGTATCTCATGAACCGTGATAGGTAGAGATTTGAAACTCTTACAGAGTATATATTTTTATGGCTTTAACAACAAATAATAAAAATAAAGATACAAGAAACATTATTTTAACGTTCGTAATCGATCATCTCAGTTAATAAATTACATACGTAAAGAGTAAAAGTCCTATTAATAAAAAAAACATGTACAATGGTACGGAACTCTTCGCGTGCGAATTCGATTCGCACTTGATCGAATTTTATAATTTTTTTTTATTCAATATATTATATCCTTACAGTGGTTTCATGCAAATATCAAAAAGATCTACCACTAAGAATAGTATAATTACATATTTTTTATTCAATGCTTTTTAACTACAGGGTGCTTCAGTGCTCAGAATGTTAGAAGGATTTATTGGTGATGAGAACTTTCGTAAAGGAGTTTCAGACTACTTGAAGAAATATAAGTTTGGCAACACTGTCACTAAAGATTTGCTGTCGTGTTTGGAACCATATTTCAAAAAAGACAACCCCAATCTAAATTTATCGTAAGTAACTTTTTAATGATCAATGTCAATTTTATGAAGTTATCCTCTAAAAGAATATTGCTCAATACAGTTTACAATGCTCAATTTTCATAGATTCTTTAAAATTTCTCGCCTCGGGTTTACAAGTCTCAATGTGTTTTGTTCAAAAAGATTTGTTTAAACAAAAGAAAGATTTGGATTTCTTAAAGATTTATATTAGTCTGTCTTAACAGAATTTCATTATTATTTTGACGACAAATTTAGCTTAGTTTGTAGTGACCCTACTTGCTGTGCCAGCGGTCGCGGGTTCGAGTCCCGCTGGGGGCATTCACTTGTGTGATGAGCACGAATGTTTGTATTCCATTCGGGTGTTTATATTTGTAATGTGTATATATTTAAAGTTATATACATATCGTTGGCTCACTATTACAAGGTTCTATGTTAGTTTTAATGAAGTTTGGTAATTTGACTTTAAAGTTTTTGAAAAATGTATACTTATTAGTCCTAATCCCTAAGTGACAGTCTATTAGCATAATTAAGGGCTACGTGATGCTTTCTAGGAAATAACAATTGGATACTTGGATATTAAGCAATATTATCAAAATTAAAATAACATAGAACTTTGTGATACTAAAAAAATATTTTTATTTATTTTAACCAGAACTTAGGACTTTGTTTCATTGAAATAAGTAAAAGATATTAGTTTATGTCCAAGTTACGTATTAATTTTCTTGAGTCATCTGAACTATTATAATATGTTTTCATGTCTCAGTACCATTAAAAAACATTACTTGTATATATGTGAAATTTATTATCATAAAAAATGGTTTATACTTTGAATATTGCCTCATAGAACTCCTTGTCCCCACTGCAGGCATCCATCGATACATAGATTCTGCTGTGTGTGAACATCTAAAGCTCACTTTAAATCTATATACACTATAATAAAACTGTAGAGGTCGAATGTCTGTACATAGAACAAAAATGCTAAAAACCGAGTCAGGGTGATGTAAGACGACAAATAGAACAAATCCAGATTTTTTCAATTTTTTTCTCTGTCTGTTTGTCTGTTTGTACGGGCTAATCTACGAATCTATTGGACTGATTTAAATGAAATTTTGCATGGTGGTACCTAATATCCCCGGGCAACATCTTAGATACTTTTCATCCCGGAAAATCAAAGATTTCCCGTGGAATAGTTGAAAAACTATAATAACTTATACAGCTTAGTACACAAAAACTACTGATTGGATTTTAATAAAACTTTACAATAATATAGTTCATACATAACAATAACAAATCGGCTACTTTTCATCACGAAAAATTAAAGAGTTCCCGTGGGATAGTCAAAAAACTATAGTAACTTATACAGCTTAGTACACAAAAGCTACTGATCGGACTTTGATGAAACTTTACAATAATATACAGTGTAGTTCATAGATCAGAATACCAAATAGGCTACTTTTTATCCCGGAAAAATGTACGGTTCCCGTGGGATAAATATTCATGTTTATTTGTAACGTATTATGCACCAAACATAGACCCCAAAACAATAGTTATTAAAAAAATTGTCTTTTTGTGTATGTCTGTTTGTCTGTTTTTGTATGCGCGTTTCACTCGAAAAGTAATGAACCGATTTCAACGAAATTTGGTGAAATGATAACTTATTACTCGAGTCAACGTTTAGGATACCTTTTACTTCAAGAAAATCTTTCTTTCTCCGGGAAGATACAATAACTGGTTTTATCGAGTCCTCCCTAAAAACCTTCCGCTGGCTAAACCTTAAGACATACATACATCAAAACAATATGCTAAAAAATTGTAGGTCTTGAAAAGTGCTACAGGAAAGTTCTGAATTGTATATGTCTATCTCCTAATTTACACTCGCAATATTTATTCTTATCTATACGTATAATAAAACTAACTTAGTCAAATCGATGTTCGCGTTTCACGCAAAAAGCACTGAATCGATTTTAACTAAATTGTGTATACTGAGAACTTAGTACTCGGGTCAACATTTAGGATACCTTTTACGACAGGCAAATTATTCATTCCCACGGTTCAACAACATATACTGGTTCTATCGAATCGTCCTTAAAAATGTATATGGCTAACGCTGGCTCCACCTTAAGAGATAGATCAAAACATTTTACAAGAAAATTGTAATTCTTAAAAAGGTCTATAGAAAAGTTCTCAATATTATAATATGTCTATTTCCGAAGGTACACTCGCTATAATTATTTTCATTATTATACTCGTATATCACTGTTTTCAACCGACTTCAAAAAGGAGGAGGTTCTCAATTCGACTGTATGTTTTTTTTCTTTTTTTTATGTTTGTTACCTCAGAACTCCGTCATTTATTAACCGATTTGAACAATTTTTGTGTTGTTTGAAAGTGTATACTTCCAGATTGGTCTAGAAGACTTAGTACTAAAATTGTAACATAGAACCTTGTAATATTGAGCCAACGATATGTCTAGTGTATCAACTATCTGTTATCCATAACACAAATCTCGTAGCTTACCATGGAACTAGATGGTGCTGTGTTAATGTCCCAACATATGTATATTTATTTATACATTGAATTTTTATTAGGGTAGTGCAGGTTCGTGTGCAAGAAGTAAAATGAGAGTTGTGTTAGATGATGTATGATTGATATAGTGAGTGACGAAGTTGTATTTGAGAATTGTGATTGGTTAATAATTGGTGTATAACTCGGTACAATAAAACATAATAAAGCGCTTTATGTTAAAGGCAATAAGGTTGACGATAGGATATCTAGCGTCGACACCTTTATTGCATTGAATTATAACATTCTATTTGGTGAGTGAGAGCGACAGATATATATATATATATATATATATATATATATATATATATATATATATATATATATATACAACAACTCACAATTCTTTATATAATTTAGTTTGTTTCATTCATGTTAGGTGTTAGTCTGTGATAGTGTAATTAAAAATAAAATTGTATGTGTATGGGATTCATCAAAAATAACTTAATCTATACAAATAAATAAAATTTAAGGTCTGTTTGTAATGTCTAAATAACGGCTTGTTACTAAATGCATATAAAGTATATATGGTACTTATATATTGATCATAAACATTGACTCAAACTTTATACAGTTCTCGAGGCGTAAGCTCAGCTTTGCATTTGTGTGAGTGATAGCCAGAAGTAAGGTTAGTCAAAAAAATCACATAATTTTTTTTATTAAAAAAACGCAGTCATGAGGACTGCCGACAGAAGTGAAAACTTAAAACTATGAACAAACAGTTGTTATTTTTGGAAATTCAAATTAATTGTTTGATCTTAAATTAAAATTAGTAAATTAAAACTGTTTACATTTATCTGGTTTTGACATTTATCGGCACTCTGAGTGTTAGCGTTAACATATTCGTTCAATTTGCACAAAATTTCTTTCGTTTGGCTGCTTAATGGTTTTCGTGTAGTCAATTTAGTTACAGTAGAAGCCATTTCACTAATGATAATAATTATATTATACTTAATAATTCAAACACAATAACAAAATAATAATATACGCCAAGCTGCACACGGTACAAGAGGTGAAATGTGGAAAATGCAGGGCAGGGAGATGACACGTAAGGGACGTGCCGCGACTCAGGCCGCGTTTCAAAAACCCAATATAAACGGGTTTAAACCAAGCGCGGGACGCGCCAAGCTACAAGCCGCACCTCTCCGTACACTATGCGTGTACACTCACACAAATGCAAAGCTGAGCTTAAGGCGCGGGGACTGTACATGTATATCTCATTCAAATTAAGGTTGAAATTAGATAATCCCATACAGAATATGCGTGAAGATATCTGTATATTTATCATATTTTTTATATTTGATTTGATATATTATTTTCAGTTACATAATGGACACATGGACGAGACAGATGGGTTATCCACTACTAAGTGTACAGTCAGGGGAAAAAGCTAACACTTATGTGATCACTCAGAAAAGATTCTTAATTGATCTAGAAGCAGCAGTGCAGCAACAATCAGAATTTAAGTAAGTTACTAGTTTTTTTTTTAATAAGTTAATAAAACCACAGATCACAATATTATACTGGTACAGATGCTGCATCCCATTCAAACATATTGGACAGCGCTAATTCGAGCAATTTTTTTTTAATTTAGTAATAGATATCGTTTATTCTCAAAACTTCTCGAACTAGTCTTCTATTTCATAAATATGTGTAAACTAAAATATGATAAATATTGAAAAATTCAATCCTGAGTTTTAATTAAACTTTCAGTGATTATGACAGTTTTTATTTGTGTTCATTTATAAAAAAAGCTAAAGCGCCCTCTGTGAATATGCACAATGTCACTGATTGCTGTTTTTTTAATAATCAGAAAATAACACAAATTTGATTTGCGAGTGCATTATTGCGTTTTCGTTAACTTAGATTTTTTTAGACCATAATATACCTTTTTGGTATCTATTTTTTGTGTTATGTTAAATTTACACCAACTTCAATATCATATCAATATATGATGATGTTCTCCTAGCCGATTCCGGCCACGGCGGCCAATCTCAATAAGATTAGCCAACTGCGCAGGAGATATTATAGTGCTCAAGTGTACGCGCAGACACAGGTGCACTCTCTATTCCTATCACTCTCATACTCCGGTGGGACGACCACTCGACACGACCGGTGAGAGTTAAGACGCAGGACTGACGGCTTTACGTGCTCTCCGAGGCACGGGGGTGAAACACCGCCAACTTCCCAACTCCGGGCTGTTACTGAGACTTACTATACAGGAAGACTCAATAACTAAACTTGGCCCGACCCGGGACTCGAACCCAGGACCTCCGCGTGTGCAGCCGTACATGCTAGCCACTACACCACCGAGGCAGTTGATCAATATATATAATATCTATTGATATTTAACTCACCATGGTTATAGTAACAAAAATGAAACCAATTGAAGGCTGTTTTTAAAAGTTATTTATCAATCGAATTAATTATAATGTGAGTGAGTCTAAAAGTGAAAAGAACTATTTTATTTCATACATTTTTAGTTTTTAATTTGTTTATGTTGTATTTTGTTCAATGAGTAAATAATACCTCGGTGGTCTAATGGCTAGCATGTATGGCAGTAGATCCAGAGGTTCTGGGTTCGAGTCCCGGGTCGGGTCAAGTTCAGTTATTGAGCATTTCTGTCAAGAAATTCTCAGTAACAACCTGTAGTTAAGAAGTCAGCGGTGTTTCACTCCAGTGTCTCGGAGAGCACGTAAAGCCGTCGGTCCTGCGCTTTAATTCTCACGTACATACTATTGTTACAGAAATGAAACAATTTATTCATTCATGTATACAATTCAACAATATTTTTAGTAAGGCCCGTCAATTCAATATTTGAGTCTGGTCAGATAGAAAGATATTACCAAAAAGTTAAATGTCTAAGATTGTGTCTGTTGCTAATTTATTACAAGCAAGATATAAGAGTGACATTTGCTGAATGAATGTGTTTATTATTTTTCATTATTTTAGGTACCGTTGGTTCGTCCCAGTGACTTATAAAACAAACAAGGCCACAACAGAGTCCATTTTATGGTTCCCAGATAGCAGTGACAGTGGTAAGCATGTTATCCATATACTTAAACTAATATTATAAATGTGAAAGTTTGTGAGGATGGATATTCGTTACTTTTTCACGCCAGAACGGCTGAACGGATCTAGATAAAATTTGGTACAGAGATTGATTATAGTCTGGAATAGCACATAGGATACTTTTTATCTCAGAAAAATGTATGGTTCCCGTGGGATAGATTTGTTTTTGTCTAGGGAACGAGCCCGAAGGGAGAGTAGTAGTTAGTGTCTTAATAATTTCCAATTCAAGCTTAACCCTAAGGTGCTCTCTGTTGTCTAAATTTAAATAACTTTGTCAGCATATTTTAATGTCACAGATATTTATCTTTTTCATTGTTTGAAAAATTGGCCCGGATGTACCTAAATCCTATAAATTATCTATATATTAAGAATCTATAGACGTTGCTACGCGAAAGAAGTGACAAACTAACAAACATTCATGCATAAATGTAATATTAGTAAGAGTAAAATAAATATTATAAATGAAAAAGAGTTAGGAATTTGAAGAAAGGTTATTTTAACTTAATCATCTTTAAAAGTTAAAACCGATTTTGATAAAATTTGCCACACATATAGATCACTTTTCGGAGAAAAAAATTTGTAAACTTTTTTTATCCCAGTAATGTGGTCTTGCCATGTAGTATGAACTTCATTTTATAATATTAATTTCTTTCTGAAATAATCACTAGATGACGCTATCTGAGAACGTTGAAAGAAAAGAAAGCTTTATAACACAACAGAAATCTAATAAGACATGCTCTACGGTCTAATGCTTTTTTCAGTAACATTGTCTTTGGAAGATGGAGAGAAATGGATAAAAATAAATAATAACCAAGTTGGTTACTACAGAGTGAACTACCCAGAAGGAATGTGGCAGGAACTAACAGAACAATTGAAAAATAATACAGCACAGGTAACTTTCCTTTTACCTTATTAAAAAAAGTCAAAACTGAAGAAGTGTATAAAAGAGTCTAAAATTATATTATAAAAGCTTATATTATACTATCGACTCACCCTCGCTTCGGGTTCGTCCCTAGGTACCTGTTAACGGCTAGTATGAAATACAAATCTTTGAATTTCTCGGCTTTTCTGTACTATAATATACATGTAATATTCATATAACCTTCCTCTTAAATCACTATCTATTGCTGAAAACTGCATTAAAATCCGTTGAGTAGTTTAAAAGATTTAAGCGAACAGACAGCGGAAGCGACTTCATTTTATATTATGTAAAGATTCTGACCGCGAAAGCTGTATCGTACTTTGGGAGGTAACATGCGTTCGGTGGAAGGAAAAGCGAAAGTCCCAGCATAAAGAATAATACTACAAAATAGATGTTATGATAATGAATTCTAATATTTTATATTTTAAACTGAGATAATATTAATATTTTGTTTTTTTTTTAAATTATTTTTTTGCCTAATCTATACAGATAAATAAAATTGAAGTGTCTGTTTGTAATGTCAAAATAACGACCATTTATTAAATGCATATGAAATTATATAAGGTACTTATAAGAAAAACACAATTTATAAAATTTTTGTTTGTCTGTCTGTTCCGGATAATTTCTGAAACAGCTGGACTGATTTTGACGTGACGTTCACGGTAAGATAGCTGATTTTATAGGGAGTAACATAGTTTACTTTTATTTTAGACTAGCGGTTGATTCCCTATACAAACTTTCAACCCCATATTCACCCCCTTAAGGGATGATTTCCGGCATAAAAAGTATCCTATATAATAAGTATATGTCTTTCCCTGGGTCTCAAACTATTTTCTTACCAAATTTCATCTAAATTGGTTCAGTAGATCCAGAGATTACCCCCTACAACGTCACAAACTCACAAACTTTACCTCTTTATAATATTAGTATAGAAAGAGAATTAGGGTTCTGCTAAAAAAAATTAAAACGTACCTAGGGACGAACCCGAGCGAAGCGAGTGGGTATTTTACTTTGTTGCAAGTTTGGTAAATTTATATTATTGTTTGATTATGGAAACAAGTATGCAGTGGTAGCCTAATGGCGAATGAAGCGGGTTCAAAATCCGGGTCTCGCACCTCTGTGCGAATGATATTTTCATGTGCCAATCATTTTTAACATTACCACTTGTCTAATGACTAATACTAATGACATGTGAATTCCGGCAACCCGCAATTAGCCAGCGTGATGGACTATTCGTATTGGGAGACCCGTGCCCTACTGTGGGACGTTAAAAGGGCTGAATATATAGAAACAACTTCTGATTGCAAAAGTTTACCCTAAAATCGTATTTGAGCGATAACAATCAGTTTCTACAAACCACCAAACATACTGTAATTTAAAATGTTTTCAGCTAACAATATCAGATCGGTCTAATCTATTGGATGACGCCTTCGCTCTGGCCGAAGCAAAAGTGATTCCATATGAAATTGCCCTAAATTTGTCTACATATCTGATAGTTGAAAACGACTTCGTGCCATGGGAAACCGCCACAGTTATATTTGACAAGCTATCACATGACCTTCTTAATACGATGGCTTATGATTACTTACAGGTATGTATGGATATTTTCAGGGTTCGCACTCGAAGGGTGGAACCTCCGTCTACAACAGCTAAATTCATCGTAGTTTACCAGTGCCATCTACTATTTTCAGCATACAGGTGGACACTTTTTCAACTTGTCTACTATATAAGTGACTCCTCCTTACTTCTATGCTCCATGCGCTATAACATAAAAATAATAAAAAACCAAGATGGCAATTTTCAAAATAGCTGCCATGAAAATTACAAAAATCGATTAATTACAAAAGAAAAAAAACATAATGTTATATTTCGTACGATGGTACGGAACTATTGGTATGCGATTCCGACTCGCACTTGACCGGTTTTTATATATTAAACTAGTGGGTTGAATGTTCGGCTGCAGATGTTGAGATCCGGGATTCAGAGAGTTTATTATTCCAAATTCTATCGATATCTCGGTCAAACGAGGTAATTAGATAAGCTAAAGTAAATCTTCTTCTTCTCCCTGCCCATTTCCCAAATCACTTGGGGTCGGCGCAGTACATCTTCTGTACTGCTGATAGGATTTGGCAAAAGTTTTACGACCGGCCGCCTGCCTGACGTCAACCCTCCTTGGGAATGCTATTGTCTTTCTTTGTTTGAATGGTGTTAAATATTATGCACTTTCGATTTTGTTGTGTTTTAAAACATTTTTTATACTATTAATTCAATTATTAATGTTATTTTTGGATATATTTTAAAATAAATTTCGATTACACAATAAATTTTGTATTGACGTTGTCAAATTTTTTCTTCATATAAGCTAAAGTAAATATATGCATACTATGTTGTAATGTATCTACTTATTTAGTTACTTTTGTTTTTATATGAAAGAATACTTTTATACCGTGGTTCCTTAACCTTTTTACTGGAATGTAGTGAAAAAGTGTAAATAACATTATTTACCCGACTGCGGCAGAGGGTTATGGTTTTCGAGTGTATGTATGTATGTATATTTCTTTGGCATGCTCTGTAGCCTAAACACTTGATGGATTTTAGTTTGAAAGGTGTCGTTAGATTCGTTTTAATGGTGAAAGTGACACTGGGTATATCAAAATTATAATAATTTAAATGACCCATTATTGACGCCTTATTATTTTACATATGAGACCTCATTACTAATTTATTATACGAAAAGATATATAGATAACTAGCGACTCACCCTCGCTTCGCTCGAGTTCGTCCCTAGCTTGATTCCCTATACAAACTTTCATTCCCATTTTTAACCCCTTATGGGATGATTTCCGGGATAAAAAGTATCCTATGGCATTCCAGGGTCTCGTAGAAGAAGATAGTTCTTACCAAATTTCATCTAAATTGGTTCTGTAGATCCCAATACCAACCTAGATTACCCCCTACAACGTCACAAACTCAGAAACTTTACCTCTTTATAATATTAGTATAGATAAATATATATATTATAATTTATAATGTATGTTTGTAATGATAACCTATCGTTATCGTTTTGTTTATAAAGCCATAATATACTATGTGCATAGAAAAATACATTTGTCGCAATGTTATCTCATGGCATTAGTTTGTATTGGATCAAGATCCGGCTGCAAGATTGCTACGTTGATAGCGTATTTAATCAAAATCAATATTTTATATACAATAATAAAAGGGACAATATGTTTTGACCGGGGTGCCTATTCAAATGTGCCCGCTAGTATGTTTAATTAAATAAGTACGCCACTACACAATCACGCCAGAACGGTTGAACGGATCGGATGAAATTTGGCACAGAGATAGATTGTAGTCTGGAAGCACATAGGTTACTTTTTATCCCGGCAAAATGTCCGGTTTCCGTGGGATAGATTTGTTTTTGTCTAGGGACGAACCCGAAGCGATTTTATACAGGTATTAATCGTTAATTTACAATCTTTGAGAAGAAAGTATGAGTAATAAAAATATAATTACATTATTTTGTATTTTTTAACTATTACTTCTCTTTCCCTTAAAAGAGAGATAGCATAATATTAGCTTTTTTTTATTATAATAAAATCCGTTAGCTATTTTTATTTAATACAATTTATTTACTTGTCAGGATTTTTCTGTATCAACAGTAGCTGAGAATTCATTAAAATTTGAGATTCATCAAATTAAAAAACCCCCGACGCAAAAACGACGGGGTGTTATAAGTTTGACGTGTCCGTGTGTATCTGTCTGTGGCGTCGTAGCTCCCGAACGGATGAACCGATTTTGATTTTGTTCTTTTTGTTTAAAAGGTGAATTAATCGGGAGTTTTATTAGCTATGTTTAATGAAAATCTGTCAAAGATGGCCGCCGCCACAAAAATTGCTGATTACATATTTTTTCACAACTCCCTCAATATGGGTATCAAATGAAAGGGCTTGCCTAGTAGAAAACACACTATGATAAATTTCAAATCTTAGATGACCGCCACCACAACACGTCGGAGTTTTTTTTTAATTCAATTTAGTTATTTTATCGTTTTACACAATATTTTAAATTATTTTTTTATGTACTATTTACTTATACTTACGTTTTATTACAGAAATATATACAACATTTAATCAAACCTTTGTATACAAAGCAATCTTGGGAGAGGACAAGTCTGACAATTATTGAAAGGTATGAAATAATACAGAACCTCTGTATGACAAAATCGAAAATAGTTTATACTACTATTTTCGATTTTGCCATTCAGAGAAATTCTATATTGGTATTAGTCTTAATTTAATTTTTTTGAAAAGAAAATAAAAAAAGTTAAGATTGTACGTTTAGTTTAGATTTCTAGGATATGATATATTTTTTCGCAGTAAAAAGTATCCTATGTATTGACCCGGAAAGCCAGCTATCATCATATCAAATTTCATTAAAATCTGCCCAGTGGTTATCTCGTAATGCGTTCCCAGATGGACAGACAGAAAGATAAACAAAAATTCTAAAACTATATATAGGTATCGATAATAATGACTATTTCAATAAGATTTTCCAAAAAAGATTTAATGTACAGATTTGACTCAGTTCGAATTTTATTTTAAGTATAGGTAATGAGTTATATAAATAATACTATATTCTTTTGTAATTTTTTTTTTTGAAAGGAAGATATCATAACGTTGCATACAGCCCTTTTTCACGTCCCACTGCTACGCACGGGCTTCCCTTCATTGTGAGGGGAGGACTTCCCTTCAATCAGACCCTAATAGTCTACAACGCTGGCCAAGTGCCTGTTAGAGGACTTCACATGTCTTTAAAAAAATTGATAAATTCTCAGACATGCAGGTTTCCTCACGATGTTTTCCTTCACCGTAAGACGAGTGCTAATTATGTTGGGAATGATTCGCACATGATAATATCAAAGCTGCGAGACTCGGGGTTTTAACCCGCTTCACTGCCTCTTAACTAATAGCTTAAGTTAATACGCTAAGATACGTTAAACTAATACTCTAATGCCCGATTTCACCAACGTCACCTAAGTTTAAGGGATCCCCTAAGCATGGTTAGGGGGCTGTTAGGGGACAGTTTCTGTTTCACCGACAGTTAGGGGTCACCTAAATATTAAAAGGTCCCCTAAATTTAGGTGCTCGAAATATGGACTTAAAGACGATCGTAAAACGAAATTTAATTTAGGAGCTAGTTTAGGGGACTTTTAAGCTATGGATCCCATACGTAGGTGGTAGCTTATGGGTTGTAATCGGGCATAAGACACGTTAAAGATAATACGTTAGATGCGTTGAAGATACGGTACTTTGTTTACAATTTAATGGGTTTTAATTTTTTGCGCGGAACCCCGATTCTTTTTCTAAAATAAAAGTAACCTTAAGTTACTCCTAATAACATCAGCTGTCTGCCACTAAAAGTCCTGCCAAAATCTCTCTTAATCTTAACAGCTCTTTTCTAAAATGATATAAGATATTTTGGCGTATGATTACTCGATTAAGTGCGTCTTCGTGCGTCGTGCTTCACACGTGCCAGTGTAATCGTTAAATGACAATTTGCGTAGGGTTTTTTTTTTAATTTTTAATTTTAAAGCTTTTATAATGATAATACTTTCTTAGATTGACGCGAATACTTGACATTTTAAATAAAACTATCTTTTCGGATTTTTTCGCGAATTTATTTTGATTTTTGGTTCCCGACGTTTCGAATGCTTGACAGCAATCATGGTCACGGGAGAGACTGAGGTGTTAGATGTCTCTAACGTATTATATAGTTGTTACAGACAGCCTACCTGCAATTAACAAAATGAATTCAAAAATTATAAAAATGGCACTAAAGTACCTTACAATATTTTAACTTTTAACTTCAAACATTTTTATATATGTAATTTTAATTAGCTTTATAATTGAATATGGAATATTATTTACTTAATTTGAGCTGTTATTATAATAATTATTACAATTTTAAACATATTAATTATTAATCTACATTTTTAGTGTAGCCATTATTATATTTATAACCATAAAGAAAAAATCATAATATATTAATTATTTAAGCCACATAATTGATCTATGTGTAATTTGAAAAAGTTAAGATTAATTAAAAAAATAATTATTTAAATTTAAATTTGCTATTATTTAAAAAACAAATTATTAAGCAACACATTACTATATACATTTACAAATGAAAAAGTGAAAAATATTAATCAGAAATGCTAAGATTTTGATCTACACAGTAAGAACTTACTACATCTAACTGTCTGTTATGTTTAGATTTATTATTAGATTTTATGATATTAATAACAGGCTCCCATGACGATGGTAGTACCCAGCCATCTTCCCTATTGAAATTTGGATGTTTTTTAATTTCTATGGCTTCTCGAATCATTTTAGGGCGATATCGGTTTTCTTTCGCCAGGATTTGAGGTCTATCGAAGCGAATATAATGGCTTGGGCGGTCCTGGCTATGTTTGCAGACAGCAGATGTTGTATTGCGACGGTGCTTCACATCAGCTATGTGTTCTTTAATCCGGGTTCTAATGGATCTCTTTGTTTGTCCGATGTAAGAGAGCCCACAATCACAATCAAGTTTGTAAACTCCTGAATCTTGTAGAGGAATGTGGCACTTGACAGGTGGTAGAAACTGACTAATTTTCTTTGGCGGCTTGAAGTAAATTTTAATTGAAGCTCAGTTTAGAATGTAGCCAATCTTGTCAGTGACGCCTCTCATGTAAGGTGACTGCAGGGACGCGCTCGACTGTGGCTGGCTTCACTCGGTCCCTGTGACGTAGGCACGGCACGTGCAGCTTGTTGTCTCGCAGAACTTGCTTGACATGTTGCAGCTCTCCGGCCATGTGTTGCTCGTCACAGATCCCTCGTGCCCTCTGAAACAAAGATTTTCCCACGGTAGCTAACTGTGAAGGGTCTTTTATAATGATTTGCAGCAAATATGTTATTTAATAATAATATTTTTTTAAGCATTTAGTGAATACTTAACATATATTTATAGATTATTTTTGTCTGTTTGTTCGTGTATAAATAAAATATTTCAAATAATACTATTGTGTGTTTTACACAAAAGTATTTAGATACTAAATGTTGATTGTGGCTTGTGTTTTATTCATCAAAACGGGCCAAGTAGCTTGGAACAAAACAAGTAGACAAAATGTACCCAGCCATCAACCTATACCTTTTCTTATCCACGCACTTCTGTTACAGTAATATAATGGTATACACATGTTGAAGAATAATTTAATACTAATATAATAATCACCTTACTTTTTTAACGTACCACTGCTGTACACGGACTTCACTTAAACGTCAGTGGGATTTTCCCATGATCCACCATGCTAGCCAAAAATCTTTGGTAAAAAAATCTTGAGTTCTTTTAGGCATGTAAATTACCTGATTATGTTTTCCTTTATTACTGATATATAAACTTGGTTATTATATTTATTTTAGTCTATTACGCGCACGGATGTTATCATTAGCTGCAAAATATCAGTTACCCGATGCCGAAAAGAAAGTTAGGAATATATTCCTATCTTGGCTCAATTCACCGGACAAAACTGATATAGAACCGGATTTGCGAGATGTCATTTACTATCATGGTGAGTAAAATGCATTGTTAAGTTATTACATAATTAGGTATTATACATTTTCAACCGACTTCAAAAAGGAGGAGGTTCTCAATTCGACTGTATGTTTTTTTTTTTTTTTTTTATGTTTGTTACCTCAGAACTCCGTCATTTATTAACCGATTTGGACAATTTTTGTTTTGTTTGAAAGGGTATACTTCCAGATTGGTCCCATTTAAATTTCAAAAAAAAATACCACCCCTAAGGGTGGAAAAACAACTAATGATGAATTTAACCTACTTCTAATTGTCATATTGACTTGAAACTTTGCAAGTATTTCTATTTCCGTTGATAGTACAGTGGTTCGGTGTTGTTGACCTGATCTGAAGGCAAGGCCAGAAGGTGGATAGGTGGAACTCTTCAACGGCTAATAGTAGATACTTTGAGTTTGGGCTTATTTTGTTTGATTTGACAAGCCTAACACGTTAGAATCCTTACTTTGCTACTACTGTCTACACTAAAAAGGGAAAAATAAAAACTTTTTAACAAAAAAATAAAACCGACTTCAAACAAAAGCACTAAAAAATAAAAAATAACTGATTGGTAGTTTTCGTTTACTATACATACCTAATCAAATATTTTCGAAGTCGGTGTGCTTTGGCTAAGTAATTAAAGCCTACCTATTAAATACATACCTAATCAAATATTTTCGAAATCGGTGCCAGCCCATACAAAGCAAAGCACACCGACTTCGAAAATATTTGATTAGGTATGTATAGTAAATGAAAACTACCAATCAGTTATTTTTTACTTTTTAGTGCTTTTGTTTGAAGTCGGTTTTATTTTTTTGTTAAAAAGTTTTTTTGTTAATTCATTGTTAACATAAAACGATTAGTATACACGTTTCACGTTATATATGTACCCATTAGCATATGTACGAAAATGTATGCATACAATTACTAACAACGCTTAAAACAATATTTTCGCATTTAAAAAATAGTACCTGGACTACCGAGCTTCGCTCGGAGTTTTTAGCAATTTTCTTTTTAAAACTAAAAACTTGAATAAATATTAAAAAAAAACAAAAATAAAAACTTTGTAACCGAGCGGGATTCGAACCCATACACCTGTGGTTGTCAAACTTGCGCGTTGGCCGTTTGACCACGATGCTTATATCCTAGCGTGCGAATTAGCGACCATATTTTGCGTGGAATAATGCGAAACAAAACCGAATGAAAACTCGAAAACACGCGTTTTCCCAGACATAAAATTAATCCAGATCGATTTATCGCCTCCGAATCCCCTTGTATGCTAAATTTCATGAAAATCGTGTAATATATATATACCAGAATTGCTCGTTTAAATTTATTTATTGCATAGACAGTATGTATATGTATGTACATATATGTATGTACATACATATACATACTGTCTTTTACATAAATATGTATACACTTAAAATGGGAGGATATAATTTACTTTAATCCCACCACGACCGCGGACACGCCGGCGTTACAGTTAACAATAGATTTCTTAGAAATTTAATTAATTTCTTAGAAATTTACCTGGAGATGTTATTTTTATAAGCTTAGTTGGTATTTTTGTGTGGGCACAGATCACTTAATACTATATTATGTATGAATCAAATCTTGTAAGCTGAATTATTAGAACCCCTTCCTCTTATCCTACAGAGTTGAAATTTTGATAATTATAATCTCCATTTAGCATCCAGACGAAGCAACTCCTTAACAGCAAACAGTACAGACACGAAAATTTATATACGAATTCAAGTATCACAGCTCGCTGTACAGTCTATCGTGACAGTACGTGTATTTAAAAAAACCTACAGGCTGTTTTATTTTCATCTAGATAAATGAATCTTTCAAAGATCATAAACGTAATTTAAATTTTTTACTAAAATTGATTCAATAACTGCTAATAAAGCATATTTCACTATCTGAATGATTTCCGTATTAAATTATATTGAATTTTATCGTATATATGATTTTGTTTCCTTATAAGGTATGAAAGCAGCCACACAAGAAGAATGGAACAAGCTCTGGGAGATATATTTAAAAGAGGAAGATGTTCAAGAACAATCAAAAATTCGAAGTGCATTGTCAGCGCCACGCGATATTGAAATTCTTAAAAGGTATACACTTATTTTAAAAACGGTTTTTTTAACTTTTTTTATAAATAACTGAAAAGCAAATCTTGGAAGTCGATTTTGACCTCCAATTGTTGTATATATTTGGAAATTTTTAAGTATATATTCATTCGGATAACGATACAATGATTTGATACTGACGTTTTGAAGACTTCTGCACATTACACTTTGTGAACCGCTGTTATTTTTTTGCTTGAGTTGAGTATCTTGCAGATTTCAGGTGACGCTGCAGTATCAGGACTGGGCTACCATATAGTTGCAATGTCTTTGAAGTAACGGAATACCAAGTTTCGAATGGAGTAGATCTGTGTAAAAAGCTAATTGCCTGCATACGGCTGAACGAATTTTCTTGATTTATAGCTACAGACAATGTCTGTGTTTATAGCTTAAAATAGTATTGTTCCTTTGTGTATCATTTCGAACAAAAAAACTAAATTAAAAACAGCTCATCCGTTTCAACGCTTCGATGCCACAGACAGACAGACACTTTAAGCTTATCATCACCACTCTTTTTGCGTCGGGGGTTAAAAACTATAATTATCGTCATTTAGAGTTAGTCAACTTTGTGTAACGCTTACGAAAATACGTAATTTTAACTAAATTGGGGCAGACACTACGACAACATTAGAATTCTGAAAAAACATAAATAAGTATTATTTTACGCTAGGTACTTGATTTAGGTACATATGTGTATGAATCTGCTTATACGCGATTTAAATTTAATTGCTGAGTTGTGGGATGTAGCTTATCTTATGATATAAATATTATACTTATTATATTATAACACCTTAAATAGCAGTAAAAAACTCATATAACTACGAATCTGGTTCTTGCTCTAATGCGCCTCGTACCACATAAACTAAATTTGTTTTAAAGCAAAAATAAGTTTATATTTCATAGCATTTTCCAAAGACTGAAAAAGGAATCTTTAAGATTTTTTCCTAAGAACTCATTATATACAATTATTAATAAACATATATATTTATATATAAAGCGAGGCCTAAAATACAAGTTTTTTTTTAAATTACAGATGCTTTAGTCCTTAGCGAAAGAATATTTTATAAGTTTTCTTTTAGAAATATTGAACGTCTTCACAGCGATGTTGATTTCGCTTGGGAATCGAATCTGCCATATTTAAGTATATTTTCATAGTACTGACTGGTTCACTAAGCTGGGTAGACCAGGGAAGACCATGTTCCTTGTAAGGCCGATAAGTTAGGTTTCGTGCACATTTAGAATTCATTAAATAATTTTAGGTATCTCCTGTTGGCGTGGGATGAAAACAACATTAGAAGCCAAGATTACTTAAATGTTTTAAGCTTTATCAGTTCTAACCCGTCCGGTACTGCACTAGTATGGGACAATGTACGCGAGAACTGGCCAAAACTTGTGGAACGATTCACTTTGAATAGCAGATACTTGGGTAGTCTCATACCGAGTATAACAAGTTCTTTTAATACAGAAAGCCTGTTAAAAGAGGTATGTATATACATATACTTGTCGATTACGATAATTTAACAATAATTAATAACACAATTGATATTGTTGTAACGGTGGGGAGTTAACGTCGTGGCGTAACGAGTCTGCTTTGACATACTATTGTTGTGTATCGCAAACAGTTTTTTTTAAATCACGTGTAAAATTTACATTTATTCTGTTTTCTAATATATTTAGCAGATAAATTTTAGTAGATTTCAGATCCTTATTGGACTTTTTAATTTTTAGATGTTCGACTGTCTATTTATTGCAACGAATGTTAGATAATTAGTTGGGAGTCTTTTTGGTGGTTTTTAGTATTACAGTCCCCTGAAGTTAAAAGTAGACAGGGAACCGTGAAGGGTTTCCCCGGAGAAAACAAAAAATATATATACCCCCCGCCACAAAACTTTAACACACTACACATTTTTCATTACAGCTCTTAAATAAAAAGAAATTTTTAGATTTTTTTCTTCGATTAAAGATAGTGCGTCAAGATATTTATGTCGATATTAGAAAGAGACAGTATTGTTTACGTATAGGTTCCGCGTAAAATCGCGCCTCCTGAACGATGCGACAAAACTATAACACACTTAGGTGAAAAAAAAAAACAAAAAAACTGATTTATATTTTTAATTTTTATTTCAGTAATAAGTATATCCTCCTCTATTTTTTACAACTTCAATCAGTCTCTTTGACAGCGTTTCATAAAGGGTTTTGATATAATCTTGATCTAACTTTTGCCACTAATTTTGGATAGCATTTTTTTATTATTCAACATTGCTATATTGTTTAAAACTTAAGTACACAGCACGTGCTAGTTTACCCCAACAGTTTTCAATAATATTTAGATCAGGGGAGCGCGCTGGCCACATTAATAATTTTATATTTCGTTCTGAAAAATACTCTTTAACGAGTTTTGCAGTATAAACAGTTCTCATTTCCTTGCTGGAAAATATAATTCTGACCACTAATTTGTGTTCCATATTTGGCTAACTGTTCGTTTATCAACTTTTCTAATATCTACATAAATATCTTGATGCACTATCTTTAATCGAAGAACATAAAAGCTAAAAATTTCTTTTTATTTAAGAGTTGTAATGAAAAATGTGTAGTGTGCTAAAGTTTTGTCGCGGGGTGTATATATTCGATTAATCCTATTTATAGATGCAAGTATTCTTCGAGAAATTCCCAGAAGCAGGCGCCGGAGAATTGTCACGTGTTCGTGCTATTGAAAATGTACAAAATAATATTAAATGGGCCAACTCTTACCAAAATGTTGTTTCGTCCTGGCTAGAACAGCAAATGAAAAAAATATAAAATATTTAGTTTAACCAAAAATGTAGACATAGTAATATAAATGTTTTTGAAGTTATGAGCTTTATTTTGATGAAAATTTTATATTTCGTGTCAATCAATCTTTAAGTCAATACAATAAAACATATAGAAAACACATTTTTTTTATTATCAAAAAATATCACCTGTTAGTGTTAAATCTGCTCAACTACTTTACGCCTTACGTCAAAAAAGCCATTTATCGATAAGTGTAAATTAAAAATTGAAAAAAACCCCGACCGTTTTGGACTGATTTTCATCAAACATAGCTAAGAACCAGGGGCTGCCAGTAGAGCCAACTTATTTTATACCGCTGGGTCACTAAAATTATACCAAATTCTATCATACCACAATTTTTGGAATTATTTTAAACAGAAAAAGAAATGTGACTCATCTTTTCCCGCATTAATGAAGCTGGACAACAGAACTGCCAGTACTGGTACTGATATTGCTAATCTATTTGCGAATCATTTCTCCTCTATTTATACCCAAACGGCTGGTCAACATCCAATTAATAAATTACACCAAAACAGTAACATTCCACAGCTATCCAAGTTTAAATACCTAGAGGCAGATATGGCAAAAAAAATTTAAAACATTTGATATTCAAAAGGGGACACTTCCAGATTGTCTTCCGTGTATTTTTGTAAAACGTTGCGGTTCCGGTCTTGCATTCCCTCTCATGCTGATCTTCAATCGTTCCCTCGATGAAGGTGTATTTCCCGAAGCGTGGAAAAGAGCACGAATCGTACCAATCTTCAAAAAGGGTAATAGAATGGATGTAAAAAATTACCGTCCAATATCAATTCTGTCATGCTTTTTAAAACTGTTTGAAAGTCTTATGCATCCCATCCTCACCAAACAATTGAACAACTTCCTGACAAGCGCTCAGCATTGTTTCAGAAGCGGCTTATCAGTTACAACTAACTTGTCAAACTTCACCTCAGATCTGATAGCACAGGTAGATAAGGGACAACAGATCGATGCTATTTATACCGATTTTAGTAGCGCATTTGATAAGGTTGACCATCAAATTCTGATAAACAAGCTTTCTCAATACGGCATTAGTGCCTCTTTAAATAAATGGTTTAAATCTTATCTAAGCCAGAGACCGTAGACTGTAGTAGTAAATGGGTTTGAATCTGAGAGATACATCGCTCGCTCCGGGGTACCACAGGGTTCCCATCTGGAGCCTTTATTATTTTTAGCCTTCATAAATGACATCACCACTGAGATAAAACATTGTAAGTGCTCACTTTTCGCCTATGACCTAAAAATCTATAAAATTACAAAGTCAGACGAAGACACTAAATTAATACAAGAAGATCTCGATAGAATTACAAATTTGTGTGGCGTCAATAGTATGACTCTTAATGTTATCAAATGTTTCCATATAAAATATACTAAAAAGAAAAAACCACTTGTCTCAAGTTATTCGATTGATAATGTAGTATTAAAAGTTAACAGAAATCAGCAATACCATTGGTTAAAGCGAAACGTGACGTCAAATACTGTCTAGGGATGTTCATGTAAAAAAATATCGATATTTTTTTCGATATAATATAACGTATTGTTGTATCAATACTATTTTACTACAGTTTGTATTTAACTTGTCTGTAATATTAAATAGGGATCAGGTCAATACGTTTGACGTTTTATTTTTACTCAAGCTGCCATCCATAAATTAAGGAATCAATATAAAAAAAAAGAAATGAAATGTGCTTTTAATTTCTCATGATGATGAAATATATCGATTATACATATGGATACTAGATAATTCGATAATATCGGGCTGAAGCGATATAACGCGTACATACATCAATATTGTATGAAATATCGATATATATCGTGCACTCTTAATCCTGCGTCAACAAATTTTTTTGTTTACATTTGTATGGCGTTGGAGGCTTTTGATTGAAAACACAATATTTTCGCGTATGTTGTGAACTCATTTATTGTATAAGTGTAACTTTAACATCCTAGTTGGACTGAACTATAATTATTCAGTACTCAGGTCTCAGACTCACGTCTCACTGACAGACTGCACATCAGTTTCCTTTGTTTTTGTTTTTTTTTATTATAATTTATAGTTCAAAAAAATTGTAAATTTAGCGCGAAGTTTAGCGTTTTTTGTGCAATGCTAGCGCTGAATGAGTTTTATGATCTAGCAACACTGCTGGACATAGTATTTGACGTCATCAAAAGCGCGCTAAAATGGCGGCGCTTAAACAGCTTAAAATTATTCTCTATTTCAAATATTTTTTTAAACTTAATTACGGCATTTTTAAACATTATTTATATTTTTTTCTATGTTATAAAAGTGTAAACAGTGAATTAAAAATATAAAAAAAATACATGCATATTCCCTAATTATTAGAAAATAAAATTTAAAAGACATTATTCAAGTATTTTAAGAAAGGGACAGACTACTCACAAGATTTTTCTTGATTGTATTAAAGAAGTTGCTTCCTCGTTCAGTTTATATTTTCTGTAAAACATATAGATAAACATATTTAATCTGTCAAAGTCAAATGTCAATATGAATTATCGACTGTTGTGTTTTTAGTTATAACTTTTAGGTTAGAATAACCATGGATGGGATGACAAATAAAACAGAATAATAAATAGAGATGTTTCATGTTACCTAATACGTAGTAGTTACATTCTCTTTGATAACAATAACATATAATTGAATGATTATTCATCATTGATTTATTATTTTATTTTAATTATCAATAAAATAGAAAGATGTTAGAACCATGGAATGATAAATCTGTTTTGCCTCCTCCAACTAATACATTTCAATGTAATGAGAATATTAGTATTGGTAAGCGTGTACTGTTTTATCTTTACAATTTTTATGAAATTAATTTTACCCCTAACTAAACACTTTGAATTTCAGATATTGCAAATCTCAAACACATTTGTAATTCCATAATCAAGGTGTTATCTAAACAATCGCCGCTGCATAAAGAAAGTGCTATATTTTCTAGATTTTTATATAAATTTGACAAAAAATTTCGTAATGATATTGGATATAGATATTTTAAAAAAGTAAATTCAGGTTTACGCAAGTATTTGAGTTTAACTCTGATAAAAGACACTCACAATTTTATGGATTTATTACCAGAAAAAGATGACACAATGTATGTTCCAACAAGACAAATGCTAGAATATATTATGGTTAGATTAATTACATTTTCTAAACTTATGTACAGAATTACATTATGTTCTAAGCAGGCAGCAGTATTTTACCTAGATAGAATTAAAAGAGGTGAAAGCCATTGGATGTGTCTTATGCCATACGCCTTGCTGAGTAGAGTATGGTCCATGGGCTTAGTTTTGCTGCAGCATTCATGTAATTGGTACAAACAGTTATACTCATATTTAAATAAATTGGTACTTAAAGGTTTAAATTTTTTACCTAATCAATTTAATTTACCATTAGACTTAGAAGAATGTATTGGTATAAAACACATAAATGAACACAGATTTGAATGGTCCCAAAAATCAACGATAAATTTTGGTTCATTTATAGAAGAAGACAATGAAGGTGATTTGTGTGAAAATATTTTGAAATATGTTGAAAACATAAACAGGAGAGGAAAAGCTATCGATGAACCGGATATACAGTTCACATTTCCAAAGTATGAAATTAACATTCAAGAGGTGTCTGTCAACAAAAGTGATGCTGGAGAAGCAGTATCTAGAGAGAGTTATAAACTTTTAAGCACTAAACTACCTCCGATCTTAACAAATCCATCAGTTGCGAAAGTGAGACAAGACCATTCTATTAAAAATGTAACAGATAGAGATTCACTCAATGAATTTGTTGATAATGAAGATACATTAAGAAACCAGTCAGACAAAAAGTCTCTAACAAGTCACCTTAGCTTCATGCAGTGGCAGGCTTTGAAAAATACTTTACTTAAACTAGACAGTGAGTTAGTAAACAAAAGAAAACTTGAGAGAAAAGTTCAAAAGATATGGGAGGAAAAATGCTTAGCATATATTTAAATAAAAAATGTTTATAGAAAAAAAATGTATTATTTCACTATCTATTTTTAATACAAAACTTAATTACACATAAGCACCATTTACGTAGGTATAATCATAAACAATAAGATGTTGCAGATATTTAAACAAACTGCCTTTAAATCATATATCAGGTACTTTATTAAAGACTACACATTGTGTATAAAATTTGAAAAAGAAGGATATTTTAAAACTATAAAAATCTTAACATTAACATGATATACAATTTTTAAACTAGAATAATCAAATTAATTTGTAAATTTGATTCATATGTAAAAATACACATGCTTTTATGATATAATTTTTATATATGCCAACATCCTTTTTGAATATACCAATAAGTGATTTTTTATGTTGTCTTATACAGGGTTATTGGTAATTCAACGCATTCCCGTTAGGAGGTGATAGAGGTGACTATTTGCGATAATTTAAACCCCATATGCATTATGCAAAAGTGAACCATTTTTGAGTTATCATGTTTTTTACCTTTTTTAAAAATAAGTCAAAAATGCAACATCAAAAATTTATTAAAAAAAAGGAATCCATTTAAATCTAATTTTTTTCTTCTGATTTATAAAAACTATTAAGTACCGGTTTTTTATCAATATTAAAACATCAATTCTCGGCCCAAATTTAAAAATGCGAAACGAAAAGCGATATTATTTCAATATTTTCTGAGATTTTTTTCCACTAAAATGCATTAAAAACAAGAAAAACGTGGGAAAAATTCTCAAAAAAATATTGGAATAATATCGCTTTTCGTCTCGCATTTTTAAATTTGGATCAATTATTGATGTTTCAATATTGATAAATAACCAGGGTTTAATCGTTTATATAAATCAGAAGAAACATTTTTGATGTTGCATTTTTGACTAATTTTGAAAAAAGCTAAAAAACATGATAACTTAAAAATGGTTCACTTTTGCATAATTCATATGGGGGTTAAAATTATCGCAAATAGGCACCCCTATCACCTCCTAACGGGAATACGTCGAATTACCAATAACCCTATATATCAGAATTAAACAATTTCTAAAGCAATAGACTGCAGATATAACAAAATTTTATAAAAATGTAAATTTATAAAAATATTATACCAATCTTATATCCACAATATACAGGGGATTCTACTACTGCACTTTTTTATATATTCAAAGAGTTTCAATAGTTATCATAATTAAACACTTCTATAGAACCTTGTTAGGAATTTTGTATATTATGACTGTGGAATGAGAAAATCAATATCTCTTAACTTTAAATTTTCTGAAACTGCCCAATTACATTCTATTATTCAGATTATATTTTAAATTAATAGTAATTTTTATTGGAATTTTGTGCTGAATAATGTTCCACAGCCCTCTTATCCTAGAATACAAATAAATATTATGAACTAAAAGCCATTAGCATGAAATGACAAATTCTTAGGGTAAATAGATAAACACTGAGCATAAATACACCCAATTGTTTCAAACAAAGTTATGAATTAAATGTTACATCTTAAAAATTACAGTAGCTGGCAAGTGTTAATAAAACACATGTATTCAGAGTTCTTATGGCTTATATAAAATTTTAGTGCCATACATTTAAACGTTTATATTCAAATTTTGGCAATACAGAAAAGTCAAAAAGTCATTGATATATAAAAACATAGATACACATTTTCTAACAAACACCTCTTCAAAAAGTGGCGTCGACATGTGACGTTAGTCAAACCAAAGTATAAACATAAATTGAAAAACCAAAAGTTCTAACTATCTAAACACAAATTCGAACGTACGCACACCACATAAAGTATTTTTTGAGCGTAACAAAGTGCGTTTTAATTTTGTCATACGAAAAGCAATGAGATTTGAAAAAAGCGCAATTCAATTTTGAATTGTGCACTTCTTTTGAGGACACTATTGAGACGCTATTTGTGTATCTTGTGTTTTTGTATATCAATGCACAAATTACTCACTTTTTTTGGATATCTTTACCTTTTATAGAGCTAAATTAAAAAGCATCATTTATTAGTATTGTCACTAGTTGGTACCGGTAATTATTTATTATTAGAAGCAGTATTTTGCGAGTTATTATGAATAAAAAATCTATTTTCTTGTGCTTGATAGCTTTTGGAGACGTGCCTTAAGACCTCCTTCTTTTTTAGGCTGAGTATTTGCTTTTCTTTCACACTGCATTTTTTTAGTTTCTTTTAGCCTGAAATAAAAATAAATTATAAATAAAATAAAAAAACATACACAATTCCTAATAAAAATTGAGAAACATGTTAATTTTTATTAAAATCCGTTATCCATTATTTATTATGTGATACCTTTTTTTACTACTGCCGGCGATTTTTGGCTGAAGATACTTTGATTTTTGTTATTTGTTCATTTATAACAGTAGTTTCATATGAAACAAACGATTACACTTTTGATTTTTTTACATTTTTAAAAAAAATTTGCAGTGCAAATTACAATTTTGAAAAATATCATAATATCAATAAAAAATGGAAAACATACTTTTCTTTTATAGCAATTTGTTCCTCTTTCTTATAAATATCTTTAAAGTCGATACAAAACGAGGTCCATAGAGAGAAGAATTCCTTTGGTTCACAGTCGTCTAATTTGCCACATTTTGGGGTGTATTGGTAGAATTTAACAGTAGCTATGAATTTACTCCTACACTCGCACATATTTTCGTTTTCAGTCTTTAATTTTTCTTCAGCAGCATTAAGGAATGTTGTCATTTTGTCTTTAAATACTTCGAGTCTCTTTGTAGTTTCTACACATTTATCAGTTTCATTTTCCTCGTCCCCTTTCGGCGAAGTGCCGGACTCGATGACTCTCTCCATTTTTTCTGTGCAATCTTTAAAAATGAGAATAAGAAAAAAGTTTAACGACCCAAATATTTCCTGTTACAATTTTGAAAAAAGACTCGTCTTGCCGGGACCCTGGTAGTTTTGGAATCGAGTTCGGGATAGAGAGATCAGATTCGGGCTAACTAGGTTCATTGCAGCCGTTTATGCGGCGTATGCCGGTAAATCAACTCAATGGTCAGTATTTTCCGGCTTATCTTAATTATATATATTATCTTAATTATATCTGTACAATAAAGTGTATCACAATGTGGAGTGTAGAAGTATCCTTACCATCCAAATTCTTCCTAAGCACATTGAGCTGGGCAGCAACATCGGCGAAGTCTATGGCGGCGGCGCGCAGCACGTCGCCGGGCTCGGGCACGGGCAGCGCGCACGCGGGCGCCAGCGCGCCGCCGCGCGCGCGCATATACGTGCGCACTATGAAGTGGAGGAGTGTTATGTTCGACTGCTTTGACTGCAGAAGATAGAGATTGTTTATCTATACAGATAAATAAAATTGAAGTGTCTGTTTGTAATATCCAAATAACAGCGTTTTGCTAAATGCACATGAAATTATATACGGTACTTATAAAGAAAAACACATTTTTTTTAGTTTTTGTCTGTTTTTGTTTGTTCCGGATAATCTCTGAAAAAGCCGGACTGATTTTGACAGGACTTTCACTGGAAGATAGCTGATGTTATAGGGAGTAACATAGGCTACTTTTATTTTAGAAAAAGAATTAGGGTTCCACTTAAAAATTAAAACGTACCTAGGGACGAGCCCTAACGAAGCGAGGATGTGTCTTTAGTTAATGCTACTTATCCTTAGGTCTAGCGAACTATATTTATAGGGTGCTATATCAATCCGGCTCGAAGGACCACATTATGATTGATAAGATATATTTGCCTTTCTATAGTTAGTAAGGAAAATAAAAGAGAGGTTATGGGGATCATTCGTAATTAACTACCATTAACACTAATATGTTCATAATACGAACACAGATTATACATCTACGATGAAAATATAGAAAGTTTTATTAATTCTTAACCGATAAACATTCGTCTCATCGAGAAGGAAGATAAACTAGTTTTAAACAAACCTTAAATTAAATAATCTACTAATTCAAGCCTAATACAATAAGCAGAATAATGGCGGCCTAGTTTCTTTATATAGGAGGGGTATCTATTCTATACTGTGGACATTTTTTTTCTAAATTCGTCCAGTTGCTTCAGCGTGAAGGACTAACAAACATACACATGCACATATACAAACATTAATGCAAATTCATTAGTAGTATGATTCATTGTTTCTTACCTTTACATCTTTCAACTTTGATAGAATTTCCAAACCAAAACCGTCAGCTTGTCCTCTTTGAGTGTTTCCACCATTCATGTAATTACCAAGAGTCAAAATTATTGCAAACAATTGCTTTAGAGATTCATTTGTCATCAGAAACTAAAAAATATTAAGAGAGGTTAGGTATTTATTTATTTCAGCTACATTTTTATATATTTTTTATTTGCCAGTGTTTTACAGATCAACATTATATATGTAATCTTTATCTTTTAAAGCCTCGTGCAAAAAACAAAATAACCGAATTGAATAATATTTTTTACGTGATCCAATCGCGGGGTCATTGTATATCACAAGTAAATACCTCACAGGTGTGTTTCAAGTTATCTAATTTGTGCATTATGGTATTGACGGCGTCGTCAAATTCAGCCTGGAATGTAAAACATGAGATCCTCTCAGCAAAACTATGAATTCCAGACAAATCGTGTAAAAATGCTTCAGGTTTGTCTAACGGTATTTCTGGTTTGTTGGCTAGGTGCTCTTTAATGAGCATCAACTCCTCTTCTGAAGCCCGCTGTAATAAAAATCGATATTATTGTAGTAATTGAATATAGTCTAAAATGATGAAGACAATAACTAAATTTAAAACCCCCTGACCATCTTCGACCGATTTTCATCAAAGATAGCTAAGAACACTTCCGACTAATTAACCTTTCAAACAAAAAAACGAAATCAAAATGGGTTTATCCGTTCGGGAGCTACGATGCCACAGACAGACAGACAGACACACACACACACACAGACACGTCAACCTTATAACACCCCGTCGTTTTGGCGTCGGGGGTTATAAAAAATAGAAAACAATCAAGTTTATATAATGTTTATTTCTTGATGTGTTTGATTAAGTTTAATAACAATATATATGTTTTTAAGTATACATTTTTTTCCAGAAAAAAATAAACATTTTTTTTTTCATTTAAAACTAAGAAAACTTCCAAAAAATTTGCATATCAATGTTTTGTAAAGAAAACTTACCAATTCATAGATTTGCTGTAGTGCTTCTAAACTGACCACTGATGTATCAAAATTATATATTGCATTTTCAATTTCAGAAAACTCAACATGCAAGCTTTGGGCTAATATGCCGACATTCTGAGATCTTTTACTGTCTAAAATTTTTATAGGTTGAATTTTCGTTTTAACCTCAACTTTCTTTTTGACGGGCGCCTTTACGACTTGCCGTGAAAAAAGATCTGCGAATTCATCTATATTGTCCAATTTAGCCTCATCGATTTCTAGCCATAGCGGTTTGAGCCCAACCGAATCGACTTCACCATGAGACGTCGGCGGCGTAGGTGTTGCCAAAATTCGAGTCCAATACAAAGGCTTCATAGGAGCAGCTGGTTTTATAGGAGTTTTACGCAACGCTGAAAAATAACGCAAAATCAACCATGGAAATATAAAAAAAAATTATTCATATTAAGTAACGTAGCGAACTTACTCGCTCTTTGAGTATGCCAACCTCCAGCGGGTGGTGCTGGAAATGGCGCAGGTCCTGTGCTGACGCCTACAGGCGGCGGTGGAGGAATGCCAGGTGTCAATGGACTTGTCAGGTGTCCAAAGTCAGTCATGGGTGGTGGTGGGGGCCCCATACCGGGCATAGGTGGTGGTGGGGGGCCCATACCCGGCATAGGTGGTGGTGGGGGGCCCATACCCGGCATAGGTGGTGGTGGGGGGCCCATACCCGACATAGGGGGTGGTGGAGGCCCCATACCCGGCATAGGTGGTGGTGGAGGTCCCATCCCCGGCGTAGGTAGTGGTGGGGGACCAATACCTGGCATAGGTGGTGGCGGAGGAGGCCCTATTCCCGGCATAGGGGGTGGTGGAGGTCCCATACCGGGCATGGGGGGTGGAGGAGGTCCCATTCCCGGCATAGGGGGTGGTGGAGGTCCCATAACTGGCATAGGTGGTGGCGGAGGCCCCATTCCTGGCATGGGGGGTGAAAAAGGCCCCATATCGGGCATGGGGGGTGGAGGAGGTCCCATTCCCGGCATAGGGGGTGGTGGAGGTCCCATAACTGGCATAGGTGGTGGCGGAGGCTCAATATTGGGAATAGATTTTGGAGCTGGTCCGGAATTCGGTATAGAAGGTGGTGAAGGGGACACTTCCAGTAAACTAGGTAATGGTGGAGTCGGTGAAGATAGAGATTCTGTTACAGGTAATGGTAAAGTTTCTATATTTGAAAGACATTGGTCAGTTTCTTGGTTTAGTAAACTTAATTTATAGGTTGATGAAAAATCCTCTGTTCCTGGCATAGGGGGTGGAGATGGTGACATCCCAGGAAGAGGGGGAGGGGGTGGAGGTGTAGGTTGGCTTAAATTGTTTTTATTGTCAACAAACACTTCTGTGTTTGAAATAGAATGCTGTGTTTTTCTTATTGAAGATTTTATTTGTTTCAAAGTATTATTTGATATCTCTGGTTGGAACGGTTCAGATGATATACTATTGTCGATTAAGTTATTAATTTCTCTATTTTCTGAATTGAGGGTTAATGATTTGTTACTTTCATTGGTCAGTACTTCATTAGTTGTACTTAAGAATGATGCCTCTGAAGAACTTTCACTTGTAACATTGACTCTGGATTCCTCTACAAATTTGATGTCTTTGTTACTTAAATTATCATGATTTATGTTTAATGTCTCTATTTTTTTACTACTATTTAATTTATTGTTATTTCCATTATCATCCATTAAGTCTTCTTTCCAATAAGTGTTATTAAAATCTCGACTTTTGTTGAGTTTACAATAATTTTCTATTTTTTCAGATCTTGCTTCCAGTTGTGTTTGTATATCTTTACAATTAAATTCACTTTTGTAACCTAATCTACTTAATCCTACAGTTGGGTCCATATTTACATTTGTCCTTATGTGGTTATCATCTTTACATGAGTTTATCACAGGTTTTTTGTCCAGCCTATTATTTTCACTGAAGTTGTTAGTTTGAACTTCTTTATTGACTAATTGAATTTGATCTCCACATAATAAATTTTCTGGCATAGATATAAATGAATTCTGTAAGTTTTTATTACTTCCTCCAAATTGATTATTAATTTTATAATTCTCTAATTGATATTCTAGCTCTTGCAATTTCCTCTTCAGCTGAGAAATAACAAGATTGGCTTCTGCTATATCTCTAACTACCTCAATATTATGTTTATTATAATTTTCATTTTCTAATGAAGAAATATTTAGAATTTGGTGTTGTTTTTTTTGTAGGCTTTCAGGTGGCCAAGAAGTTGTGTCAAGCCTCCCTGGTGTTACTGGTTGTGACACTGGTGTCTCCATATGAGACCAATAATACATTAGGTTTGGCTGAAATGTTATATTATGTTTCTGTTAGCATTCTTTTATTAGAAAATAAATGACTGACTAAATATGACTTCTAAAATAAGTTAAGTACTTAATATACTTTATACAATTTTTTGTTGATGAAAAATGAATAACAATAATTAAGTACCTTAAATGTATTCTCAGTAGGTGCATTCTTATCAGATATTTGTCGAAGTACACCTGCTGTAAGAAGGTGAGTGCAATACTGGATACCAAGTATTTTCAGATCTTGAGAATTTAATATGTTTTTTAAGTGACTATCTTCTGATACAGAAGACAAAAACCAATTTAAAAGCATCTGCCCTGAAAATATTTACACAGAATACATGCTAAAAATTGGAATAAAGTATAGTTTAGGATCGTGTTTCGATAGAGATCGAATTTAACAACAAATATTTTATTTTCTAGATATAAAATGTATCATGTTAATATAAAGAATTAGTAAAATATTACCTAAACTCTTTATTATTCTCTGTATTCGTAGGTTTAAATATCAAAAAAATAAACAAAAAAATAATTCATTTTATAAAATTTAATTACTAATTTTGTATCAAATGTCAATTTGTCATTTTGTGATTTTGACATTACAAGTTTAGAAGTTTAAAAATTAAAACACAATTTAATTAAATGTTGCCATAATAAATAAAGATGATACGTGTATTCTAATAATCTAATGCTTAGAATACTATGGGGCTACTATCGTTCCGGTGTACTTTTATTGACGTTAAAGTATGTTATTTACAGCTCATTATAAAAGTCTAATTGTTGAATAAACGAAATGCGACATTTGATTAAATATAAAAAAGTAGGTATAGATGCAAACATCAAGTACTAATTGATTTTTATTTATCCACTAATGAATGCTATAAAATCATATACACAGGTAAATAAACTTACTATTGTAAAATTTTCGAGGCATTATGTCGCTGTATGCCACTAAATATGATAAATGTAATACCCAGTAAAATTTTCTTTCACCACATAAGAAAAATACAGTCAAAGTTCCTGTTTTCATATCGAATTCTATCTCCATGTTTAAATATTCACTATACACGATTATTTTAAACTTTAACCACGACATAATTTTATCTCTATATTTTAATGTTTTGGTTACACATAACACTAAAGCACTATTCTTCTTAGGCCATTCCGTATCAAAAGAGCAACAATTCACTTTTTTTGCACTAGGGGTGAAAGGTGTTGGGTCGTCACTATGCAAACCTAATATGGTAACAATATCTTGCACTCTTTTTCTAGCGGTCTGAGATTTACTTAACAATTTCGCATAATTAAAATGTGCGACTGATGTGGTAAAATTTACACGATTTGAGGAAAATTGCATTTTGACTTTAGGAACTTTATGGGTCACGTAATCTGAGCGCGTTTCTTTATCTTTACTGATGCAAAATGATTTAAATAAGATAAGAGTACCTATTAACGCTACATGCTAAATGCTAATACGTAATTTAAGATAAGAACTATATCTACATGTTCATTCACTTATTTTTATTCGGTTTCAGCAACACAGGTGATAAAAACAATGTTTTTTTTTATCATAAAATGTAGTGGGTGTAGTAGAAAACCAGTGCGTTTGTGCGTAACTAAATTTTGTAGTGATAATATATGATATTACTCGGGTCAACATTTAGGATACCTGACTGGTAGTAAACGACAGAAAAATCTTTAATTCCCACGGGAAAATACAATAACTAGTTCTATCGAGTTAAGTTTTTAGAAATTTACATGTCTGACGTTGGCTAAACCTTGTACTAGAAAATTGTAGGTCTTAATAAGACCTACAGGCAAATCTGCAATAGCATAAGTTTTTCTCTTAAGGTACACTCGCACATTAACTAGGTATTTATACCTATTTAAAACGTACCTAGGGACGCACGCGAGTGAAGCGAGGGTAAATCACTAGTAATACATATGTATAATACTAGGTAGGTAGTAATAGTGGTAAATAAAATCAGTATCGGTGGTTCAAAATACGTTGTAGAGTTGTAGTAGAGTTCCTTACACCTTCTTCCTAACCTTACCTTCAAACTTTTCGTAAATTTGAAAATCCAACTTCTCGGGCACGAATTTTGGCCGCACTACTTTGGCTTCTAAATGTTTGTCTAGCGTAAGAGAAGCAACCTTCCGCAAGACATTAGAATCGGACATCGGCACGTCACTCACGCTAGAGTGACGAATACTAAGAGAATCTGAAAAATAGTTGAACATACATGAAAATACGTATTTTTTTAACTAGTCATACTCACCATAATAAAATTATTTTGATATTTAAAAGAGCATTTCAAACAACTGTTAACACCAAATAGCAATAATGATATTGGCACTGCTTGGTAAAATCATCTCCGTCTCAAGACCGCACAGGAGGAGGTCGCCGATTTAATTTGTGATTGTATTGGATGTAATATAAATAACAATGTTTCTCAGGATTATAGAATAATAACTATAAAAAGAACGAGCAAACTACTGTCTAATCGACTCTCGAAAATGAGTTCGAATTGTAAGCTACGTCCAAAGAAGATGTAACAAGAAGCCGTTACCTTTGGGTCTAGTATTAAACTTTAATTACAATATTGAAGGAATGGAATATAAATTTTAGGTAGTAAAAACTAGTTTACTGCTAAGTTTATTTACTAAGAACATGTGCAGGACAATGTAATGTACATTGTACAATCTATTACGATATGTGTAATTTATTTTTTTCGACATTGTGTATTACACATATAGACCTACGCCTTTGTTTTCTGTTATAGTTAAGTTAATAGACTATTTCAGAAAATATTTCAAAAATTAATAACCATATCAACCGATTAATGAGACCGCAAAAATTCGAGAGAAAACTACCATGCAACTTTTATTATTTTTATTTTTTTAAACCGAGTAACTTGACTTGATTAAACTATATTAAAATAATAAATAAAGTAAATGTTTGTGAGTATTCATGTTTGTTACTCTTTCACGCCAGACCGGCTGAACTGGTCGGGATGAAATTTGGCACAGTGATAACAGAGATGGCACAGAGATCTGGAATAACACAAAAAAAATTGAATAATGTTCGGCTCCATTGGTATAGGTTTGTTTTTGTTTTCCTAGAGGCGAACCCGAGCGAAGCGAGAGTGAACTGCTAGTTTACTATAAAAACTTATTGAGTTTTTATCCCACTGGTAGTTAATGATATGAGAGAAATCTTTTTATCTTATACTTCATATCTATACCTATGTATCATAAACATTGTACTTATAAATATAAGAAGACTAAACTACATATAACGTGAATATGCAGTTTTATATACGAGTACCTATATTATTGTGCATTTTATTATTACCGTTGTCTATTATATTGAGAGACGTCTCTGCGGCAACAGGAGGAAGTTCCACTTTTCGGTGCCTCGAAATTGTAAATGATGTCTGTCCTGGACTAGATTTCAACCTGTTTTCAAGAAAATCATGGCTGCACTCATGCTCCTTAACTAAGGATTCATCCTTTGACTTTGATAATATCGCTCCCATAACCTTTTCATTATCGCCTCTGTCACTTGTGTCATCTAATACGTCACTTTTTACTTCTTTTTCCATTGTATCGTGAGTCGATAGTGATGATGTTGTATCATCATGCGGCATGTTCATTACAACGGAACATGCCTGAATAGGTAAGATAAGTTGCGCGGGCGCATCATCACGGGCGGGAGTTAAAGTGCGCGGTAGTTCTTCGTGGGCGCTACTCGACGCGCTCTCTGCCGAGTAGTAGCACTGGTTGAGCTCGACGGCGAGCGGCGTTAAAGGGTCCGTAAACACTGAGTCGGAGGAGGATGGGTCGGCGGGCGAAGCGACGGACGCGGGTAACTGGTCGCGGGTCGGTGACCGCGGCTCCGCACACTGCGGCTCGCACCTGGTCACCGTTACCTCTGACTGCACACTCGTTCTTTCTTCCCCCACCGCCCGAGTCGATGTTTTGAACACGCACTCGACCGTATCGTTATCGAATGCCTCAATCGCTTCATTGTTATCGGATTCAGATGTTTTATCGAGTTCTTTATCGGACGTCTCACGTCTACCGACGCTTTTTTTACGACCATGTTTCTTGCTCTCCTTGCCCGAACTTTTCCTATTTAAGTTTCTTATAAAATGCTTCCCTTTTGCAGGCGATTTACCGGTTTTATGATGTTTTTCACCTGTTTGTGTATTACCCATTTCTGTATTAAAGTAGTAATAATATCAAACAAATATATCACTATTATGCGAATATATCTAGTATGTGTAAATTATTCTTTGATATCTATCGTAATAAACTAACAAGGAGCAAATTCACAGTCTCTCATTCTATCTTCAAGTCTTTGAAAATTTAGCGCAGTTGCGCAGTTGGGCGTTCTATATAATCAATATCTTAGGAGAAGTGTACAAAGTTAAGCTCTAATGTCTAACAGAAAATGTCTTATTTAAAAGTATACAACAATTTTATATTTTAAAAAGATTTAAATATCTTAACATTTTATTTTATATATTTTTTTTATAAATAAAATAAAAGCGTTATTGACATGTTATGCGAAAAATTTGCAATTAAGTCAGCCCATAGATGGCGTTGTGATAATTTAATATACTTATATCTAACAGTTTATCCTCCTTAGATCTAATATTTTGAAATTAGTTTTGTGAGTTCAAATAAATATTCTATAGGTATTACCTAGCTGCTAGTCTTTAGAAAGAGTCTTCATGATGCAGGAATAAACCATTCTAATTAAATATCAGACGGTATCGAATTTATTTTTTTAGCCTAGGCCAAAGATTATATAATAATTAGGCATTAAGTTCCAACTTTTTAGATCTGGAAGGAAAGATTCAGGCCGTCTATAAGGTATTCCTCACCCCCTGCAATAACAAATCGTCGAGCCCTGCTCCGGGGCTGTTTACAGTTACAATATTAACTAAGCCCAATAAGTCTCCCCTCGGTGTGCTTTAAAGAGGTTCACAAGCCATCACAAAGTCCTGATCCACTAAATGGTTCTGATTGACTATGAAGGATGCTAAAAAACCTGCCATTACTTAATAGCAGGCTACTAAAGCGACAGAAGCCACATAGATACCAATAAATATTTATTGTGGCTTTTGACGAGTTCCTATTGGAGTTTTTCAATAGGGATACTCGCCCAGGTCATACTGGTTACTTGTTACTTTTGATCCACCATACCACCGTAATATAATGCATAATTACCGTGAACATACCTTTCGTGACGAGCGAAAATTGACCCTGCGAAGTGCGCTAGAAGGCTTCAGCGCAGACTGTGCAGAGTAACATTTCGGTACAGATTAGACTAATAAATGCCCATCGCACCGAAACAAAGCTCGCTTTAAATGATGCCTACAGGACAGACTCTGTTCTGCTATGCTGGATAAACGTCTTCCCATATAAAGTGGTATTTAAATGTCAAGAAAATGTAAATAATAAAGAAGATTAATTAGTAATTACTTTTTAAGGTATTTTTTGGAAGTATATAGTTAATTTATTAAATGGTAAGTTATATTTAAATAAAATACTTATTTGTTGTAAAAAAGTCACGTGAAAATGATGTACGCGATTAATAATTCAGATTAGCACAATATAAATACAGTATACAAAATCTTTTTCTTTTATCTTTCACGTCTTGAAACAATGTTAAAGTTTACTATCGAGTTCCAAATAAAGAAAATATTATATTAAAACTAGCGAAAGTGAAAAATTGAGTTTGTATACGTATTTTTTAATGCCGAAGGTCATAATACTTTTCTTTTGGTGCCATTAACTTATGGTTTTAAAAATAAAATAACAAATAAATGTAAAAAATTTATTATATCTTAATTTTAACTGTTATTATAACAAAGTGCAAAGTGTGCGTTCCTAAACCAAGTTTATCCAGCAGTTCAAGTAAGTCTTTGCAAGCAAGAGCATGAATAAAAATAAAATTGTTTAGAGAAGACATCATTCTTAACATAATCAATTATAAAATATTTATAAAAGAGTACATGAGAACTGTACATAATACTTTTCGATGTAAAATAATTATATTTTGTCCGAGAAAGAGTTGTAAAGAATTTTTGTAAAAGCCTTAAAGCGAGATGCAAAGACTTAAAATTATCTACAAAGCTAGGAACGCTCACTAATATGGCAATATATTTTTAAGTACTGATTCACATTAGCCTAATTCTAATATCTTATTATAAACTAATAATTAAAATTAATTATTGTAAAGAGTTCATTATATTTGATGGACTTCTGGAGTATTACATAGTAATTTTTGACGATACATAGTAAGGGTGCATTTTCATTGGTGGATAATTGGGTCCATACTCCATATCCCGCACGCGGACGCTGATAACGACTAGTGACATTAGCCGGTCGATAAATACTATGCGATAATTTTTCCATGCGGGATAAGGATCAGTAAAACACGTCATAATATGCGGTATAAGAAACCAGTGAAAATTGTTTATGGCATGCGAACGTGTTTCCTAGAGACCAATGAAAATGCGCCCTAATTTAAATTCTTATTTGAGTACTTAATTTTAAAACTACTATCTTAGAAACATTTAGTACAAAAAAAGAAATATTAAATGATAACTTACAGTAACATATTTAAAATGTATGTACAATATACTTAAATAAACAAATTTACTTTGCGTCAATGATTAAAATAAGTACTTATGACTAATCTGTTCAAAATCTGGTGTATGATACTATAATATAATTATAATAATTATAATTATTATAATTATAATTAGCAGCATACAAATACTCGTAGGGTAGTGCATAAAACACGATTGATAGGAAAATCATAGAAAAAAAGTTAAAGAAATACACATTTGTCAGTATAACATTTTATACTATGTCAATACAAATCAAATTTTAATTCGATGAGATAACTTTAAAGTAGCCATTGAAGAGTTCCACTTTCCCTCTGCCCACTCTAACATGAGATCAACTCGATAGTACCAAATTATGATATTTCTAAGTACATGGGATTAAATCGATTTTCTACATTTGTGTACATATAAGCACAGTATAGGTACATATAAGAAGAATACATAGAGTAAAAAAATAATATGTAATATTAATAATAAAAATTGCAAAATATATTTTAGGTCTCACGAGATATAGTACTGTGAGGGAATTTATGTGGTTAGAATTTCATATAGAATTTTTGTGACATCACTAATTAAAAATTAATTATATTGGCAGGTATTAAGCACCATATGCAATAAAAATATATCCGACTAAACATAAATATCGGTGGAAAATTAACGAAATCCGTCTACGCAATAACGTACACGGTACAGTCTTGAACGAATAATATTTTGATACATAAAGCTGCAGTGCAATCTTGTTTTTATAACATATAAATATTGCACGTTAAAATATCTTACTCATTTGAATACGATTGCTCAGTAGAGGAGGCAACACATTCGTTCACAATTTTGGTACCAACAAATAAAATTATACCATTTTTGTTTTGTCTATCTTTTTAACGTGCATAGTTGTGTTCACCGTTTCTCAAATATAATTCATATTATTTTGTCTTCAATCTCAACAATTCTTGTAGTCCAATAGCCTTCTAGCTAAATATTCGTCCAAGGCTCTTATATCTTAGAATTAATTTCAATGCTTATTCTTATAATAATGAATAAAATGAATACCTAATCTATTATGTGATTTAAGCGTCACTCTATACACGTTACTTCAATAACAAATATTGTTACAGAGAGTAAAATCCATCATGGAGTATATGAGTATGTATTCGATTGGAGATTTTTTTATTAATCATATATTTCAGTCTCACTCACTTGCAGCCATTAAAGCACATCGATAGATTTATTTAATTAAAGAGCTCTCGAAGCAAAAATTTTATCAAAATGAATAGGCACATCTTAATTACCTTCTGAAATGTGTGATGAAAAAATCAAAGCCTAAGCACTATCATTCTTAAAACGGCACTTAAAGAAGCGGTCGACTCTATTCCTTAAGTACGATAATTAAGTATTTCATTATTAAGTAGTTGGCATTAGATATTATAGTTAAATGTTTCATTATTTATATTTCATTACTTATATACCTATATATCATCCAGTCCAACCAATCACTTCACACTAACCTAGGGATTATCTAAACTTTGAAAAACATCGATATGAACATTTTTAAACATTACATAACTTTCGTTAACTGTACAGTGTGACAGCACATGAGTAAATATCCCTACAGATGTGACGTAGAATGGAGAAGAAACAAAGTTTGGTCGGCAAAATAAGGTCATTAAAACTACATACATATATTAAATTATAATGTGTAAAAAGTAAGTAAATCCTTAATAAACCTTTAAGTGAAATTGTAAAAACAGCACAAACCGGAAAAAACCGCTGTCACGTACACCGCCCATGCCAGTTGGAAAACGGTTTTAGGGTTGGATGGTAATATAAATAGTATGAATCAGTGTTGTGAATTATGTACTGTTATTGTCTCTGTAGGGATATTTAGTGATGTGGTGTCAGTGAGGAGCGATACGGAAGAGCATAATCGAGTACACTAAGTCCGCCTCGTGGACTCACACGATGATCTCGCGAATGACGCGGCGCGCGCGCGCGTTGGGCGTGGAGTAGCCGGACTCGAGCGACTCGTCGTAGCCGAGCGACAGGTGGGGCGGCTTGTCCTCGGCCGCGTCCTCGCCACCGTACGCGTCCGGCAGCCCGCTCACCTCGTGGTACGGCGACTCTGTGATCACACAAGTACATGCTCACTTTATAAACCATCATTACTATAAAGTATAAACATAATCTCACTTCGAGTTGAGTCACTATAGAGTTATATATAAATATAAAGTGTTTATGTGTGAAGGTTTGTTGGTTTTTTATACCCAAAGGGCTGGACGGATTGGGATAAAATTTAGTGTACAGATAGACTGTGACGTGGAGTAACATATACGAGTAGGTCATCACTACATAGTATAAAACAAAGTCGCTTCCCGCTATCTGTCTGTCCCTATGTATGCTTAGATCTGTAAAACTACGCACCGGATTTTGATGCGGTTTTTTGTAATAGATAGAGTGACTCAAGAGAAAGGTTTTCGTATATAATTTGCAAAGTTTTTGTATACATTGGCTAAAATATAACGATATTTGTTGGAGGTGTCGGAAAAAAATAAGCCGTCTGGGAGCTTTCAATGAAAACGCTACCTAACAATCTACTAAAAATCCTTTGAGATATAACAAAATAATATATGGTGGAATTGTGTATCTTATATAGGTCTACAGAAAAGTCCGCGATGGCATATGTCTCTCTCTTAAGGATAACATACTATATCCATTTTAATTCAAAACGTACCTAGGGACGAACCCGAGCGAAGCGAGGGCGAGTCGCTAGTAGGCTAATAAATTAAATATGACAAAACCACAACAAGTAAATATACATAATACAGAAATGAATTTTTTCGACCGTATTATATTCAAAATATTTTATACATTTATATGTTAAGTATACACTTAAATATTAGTGATTGTACATAATTTTTGTCAATTCCTCATTTGTCATTGGTGATGCTAAATGTATACATACTCGTATAATAAAATTCTAGCCGAGTCGGAAAATCTTATTAAAATGGTCATTATTATCGATACAAAGACCAAATCTATAGTTTTTAGATTTTTTGTCTGACTGTCTATCTGTCTGGAAACGTATCACGAAAAAACCACTGGACAGATTTTGATTAAATTTGGTATGATGATAGCTGGTTATCCGGGTCGACATAAAGGATACTTTTTACTGTGGGAAAATATCAGAAATGAGATTTCTGAGAAATCTATACTAAGGTAAGTCGTACTCGCTAGTTACTATACAAATTAACAAAGATAGGTATAGGTTTTAGAAAATAATTTAGTTTAACTTACAAAGTGACATAGTCAACTAATGACTGAAATCTTTAAATAAAAAGAGAAAAAAAAAAGAAATATGAAGTAGATAAACAAACTCACCGATATGCTGATCCATGCGTTTCTTAGGTTTGTGAACGGAGGCGTACGGGTCGGAGCAGTAGTCGTGTCGGGACGGGTTCTGCGAGTTGCGCAGGCCGTAATCAGAGGCGGGCGCGTGCGAGCCGTGCGGCAGCGGCGAGTACGGCACGTAGTCGTCTATCGTGCCGTAGCCACCGTGGGCTATTGGGTCGTAGCTATGGAAAAAGAAATGCAGTTTTGGAATATCAAACATTTATGACTTCTATTAAAAACCCTTTAATATATTTGAGAATCAATAGCTTTGCATAGAAAAGTCATAGATATTATTACAAACGTCCTTATAAGATTAGATTTGAGCCGTAATTGAGTGTGTCAATTCCATACATTCTTTAGTTTTCTACCAGCGTAGCAATTATACGAGTAAAATAAGATGATAAGTGCCTATATTTAAGCGGCAGTTGAGTTGTAATTTGATGATTCCGACGGAGTAGAAAAATACTCTAAGCAGTTTTACCTTATACCTAATTCTGATATTTGGACTAACTTACATGTAGTTGCTCTTATTATTCAAATTTTAAACACCAAAAGTTTCTATGATTGAAAACTGAAACATCAAACTATACTATAAGCCTAAAGCCACACTTAAAAGTGGAATAGAACAACTTACCCGTAATTGCCTTGGTGATGGTCGATGATTTGATGTGGGGAGATTACTGGTGGATTGTTCGGCACGGCCGTCTTCATTTGCCACATGGAGTCTTGTGAGTTGACACTGCCGCCATTATTGCTGTTCGCGTAGCTGTTTTCCGAGTACCCCATATTGGCCCCTAAACATATATTCAATTTACGTGAAAAGTCTGATAAAATATTAGGTTCGGAATGTAAAACAACTTTTACAGTAGATGTTATGGGGTTACCGTCTACGGTGCCACTACTGGTTAGTCCTTCGAGTATGCATGAGAAGAAATATTGCATTATGAAATCGTTTGTTCTTTTTTTAAATTCTATCAAGCGCACAAGCCATAGTAAAAGATTTTAAAAATAAGCTGAATTTAGTAAGAATATAGCTGCTTTCTTTTCCTACAAACACTGCACTATTCACTTATTGTACATACATTAGTCCATTTAGCAATGTTATAATATAACTATTAATATAAGGAATGTATATACATAATATAAACTATCAGTACTTACAATCTGTATTCGACATGTTTTGGCCTGTATGTGGCGGTACGTGGTGAGCGATGTGATAGCCGTAACCTCCTTGTGTTTCATATACGGCGCTTTTAGAATCTTCCTTAGTTAAAGGTATGTCCATAGAATTTTCTAGAGCCTTATTTTCCATTCCTGCACACGAATAATAAGGCGGTGGCGCTTGGCTTGGAGGTGAACCGATGGGTGATCGTATCGAGTCCATTCTCTTACAATTCGATTTGGCCTTACGTCGAAATATGAAGAACATACAAACAACAACGGCACCCAAAACTCCTATAAATATAACGCTTAAGACCAATCCAAATAACATCGGTTCGCTTCTAACAGTATTCGTATAAGATGTACCAACTGGAAACAAGAAAAATCCATGATTATAATTTAAGTTCATCCATATAAATTTAACTAGGTACAACGTAAACAAAATTATTTTAGTATCTAGATATAATTAATTAATAAGATATATCTAAGTCCTATTTTGTAAGTTTGAACTTATATTACATGACATTCTTGATAAAATATTATCCAATTTAATCCATTATATAAAGCTTGGTGAAAAAAGAGTTGTGCACTCTCTATTCCTATCACTCTCATACTCCGGTGGGACGACTGCTCGACACGACCAGTGAGAGTTAAGGCGCAGGACCGACTGCTTTACGTGCTCTCCGAGGCACGGGGGTGAAACACCCCCAACTTCCCAACTCCGGGCTGTTACTGAGACTTACTATACAGAAAGACTCAATAACTAAACTTGGCCCGACCCGGGACTCGAACCCAGGACCTCCGGGTGTGCAGCTGTACATGCTAGCCACTACACTATCGAGGCAGTTAGTCTAAATAACAACGTTTTACTTAACACCTCGCGGTTAAATTCTAAGAAATCAATTGTTAACCGAGCCTTCTGTGGCTCCGCTATCGCTGACAGGTTAATGCATATGAAATTATATACGGTACTTATAAAAAAACACATTTTTTTTTTATTTTTGTCTGTCTGTCCCTTTGTTCCGGATAATCTCTGAAACGGCTGTACTGATTTTGACGGGACTTTCACTGGAAGTTCGCTGATGTTATAGGGAGTAACATAAGCTACTTTTATTAAAGAAAAAGAATTAGGGTTCCGCTCAAAAAATTAAAACGTACCTAGGAACGAACCCGAGCGAAGCGAGGGTGAGTCGCTAGTTCAATATAATATTACTTAATATATTTGTTAATTATAAGCTGAACTCACTTTGAGCATCAACATATTCGCTACACACGTCCTGATTGTTTTGCAAGCACAGTTTAACGCGTAGCTGCGGGTAGGAGGAGGTTTCCTGTTCGTGGTGCGGGTCCGCGCCCGTGCGGCCCTGCCTTGTGGCTTCCAGTTTAGTCGACTGAGTATTGGCAGATGTACCGGAGAGACGTAAGGGCATCGTCTCTATTACCTGAAAATTAAAAAGCGATAATAATAAACTAATATTATCAAGTAGTCTGAAAGTAGCAAATGCGTGTGTGTGAGTGAGCACGTTAAGTGTATTTATTACTTCTTCACATAAATTACTTGTGACATATGGGCAAAACTTAGTATTCCTATAAAATATTAGGAAAAAATATTTTGGGATTTCAATTAAAACAAGGACGCGTTCAGATCCGGCGAAAAAGCTGGTTTCAATAAATATTAAACGGACAATTTAAGCTTTATTAAAGGTAAGATAAAGACATTAGTTTTTTCTAAGGAGCAGTAAAGAATATATTTATAAAACGTAAGTGGTAAGCTTCTCTAATAAAACTAAATAAATATATAATAAATATAATACCTATAAGTAAACATTTTTTATAAACTAGAAATATAAATATTGTAAGTAAAACTTTTTAATAAAATTATATTATAAATTTTACATCTTGCTTTTTACATTAATATGTTACTTGATCAATAAAATCAATAAAAAAACAATGTTACTTTGTTTCTTATATTTTAAAAGTTGTTGGCATTGAATGCGACCTGAAGTCTTGAATGACGTTTGGAATATTTTGCATTATTTTTCGATATGATGATAAAAACCCGTCGGTGATGGCATCGCCATAAATATATACCAGTCTTGTATATGCAGTGCAACTGGTAACTGGTATGCGTTGCATCGTTTTAGGCGTTATACGAATTAGGACTACATGTACCAAATTGTATAAAATCATTGGTTCAATTTTTAAAAGGTTTGAATATTTGTATTTGCCATAAATGATAAACATTTATCTGTGTATGGTAAAGAAAGCGAGAAGTACAGGAGGAACAGCTCATCTAGTGCGACGGTGAAACAGAGAAAGTAAAGACAATAAATAGTTGTTCAAATTAATCCAAATTACACAATAATATAAATTTGAAATATTTTTACATTAAAAAGCCAATTTATTTAAGCTAGACGACACGTTTGGCACAGTTTGTAGCGACCCTACTGGCTGTGCCAGCAGTCGCGGGTTAGAGTCCCGCTGGGGGCATTCGTTAATGTGAAGAACACGAATGTATGTACTTTGTACTCCAGTCATAGATATTATATTTATTTATTTATCTATTTATTTTATTTTTACATGGTACAGTTAAATATTACATTTTTACGATATTATTTGTATATGTTACATGTTTAGAAGAAGAAGTAAAACTATATCATTGAGTAGTTTGCATTAATTTTAACATCTTTAGTACCTACATATTTTCATATGGGTTTCACAGTTCACTATATAATTTACTGGTGTGATGATATTTGTGTATTAAGTCGAAAAAAATGTCTTCTAACTCACATGCGAGCAGAAAAGGGGTAAGTCACTAGTTTAAAGTAGTTATTTACCTGCCAATTATTCGTCCCTTGAGTTCTTTCGATGACCGCCACGAGCGGCAAGCAAGTCGCCCCAACACTAAAACTAACAGTTATTTCTGCTGGATCGAACGTCACCTCGTTCGGAGGCTCAATCTCATGAACTTTTGTCGTAACAGATATTTCGTTTGAGTAATTACTTTGCCCCTTCGTGTTTACAGCCTTTACCTAAAATAAAATGATACTGTAAATAGTTTTGTGAGCAACAAAGAAATAGTCGATTCGTACAGTAAATAAAAAAAATAGTAAGTACATTAAACCTTTACCTTGAATACATATGTCACCTGCTGGTAGCGTTAATAAAGAAAAAAATGTTTCAATAGTAGTCATTTTAGCGAAACAAAATATCAGCCTACTACATTGAGTTTATTATGGTAGTTATAGGAATATGATGATAAATGGAGGAGCAAAGCATAAAATGTTAACAGTTACCTAGCACCTACTATATATCTACGTAAGTCTAGCAAGAAAAACTCTGTTAGATTACAATACAAAGTGGCTTACTTTGAAATAATATGAGTTATGTTGCTCAAGTCCAGTCACATTGCATGGGTTAGAGCGTCCACAGTCGTATTCTTTCCAGTCGAACTCTTCGGGCCGCTTCACATCGCACTGTTTCCCGCTCGCCGGGTTCCTTACACGACGGATCCATACAAAGTACTTTGTACTCGAAAGTCCGCCGTTGAAACCCGCTTCCCATTTTAAAGTGACATACTTAGCATCGACTTTCTGGCTCGCCAAATTTCTGGGTGGCTCCGGTGCACCTTTAGGCTGCAACCTTATTTGAGGTCGAATGTTTCCGAGCGAATTCTTAACCGTACAGTAATAGTCACCATAATCGTGAGCCTTGATGTTTCGTATCACTAATACACTTAAATAGGAGTCGTTTTCGTCCGTCGTTGTTATAATTTCATAGTGACCGTCGGAAGACATTTGCAACGGTGCAGGATTAGCGCCATAGAACCATTGGAATTCCGGCTTAGGATAAGCTTGAACTCGACAAGATATTTCTGCGTTTTCCATCAAGTCGTAAGCCACCTTCTTTTGTTGCCGGATTGATATCGGTGCATCTGTAATAATAAATAAATAAAGTTGTTTATTTAAAAGATAGATCTAGAACATAAACATAAATAAAAAAAATAGTAATACAAAAGTTACTTAATTTTGAAAATATTTGAAAAAAAAACTTACGTTCAATGCGGAGCTGCATGGAGGATTCAACTTTTTTGACTTCATTTTCAAATGAGCAACCATATACTCCTCTATCTCCCGGCAATAAGTCATCCTCCTCTGGTCTCGCTTTTCCGCGAAATCTGAGCGTACTTTGTATATTGTACACAGCGTTCCTACTTTCATTAATTTCTGTTTTTACCTCGTATAAGTTAGCATCTGGGCGAATTTCAGCATTATCCTTGTACCACTTAACGTTAGGCAGCGGTTTGCCTAAAGCAACACAAGTTAGTGAAAAATTTCGTTCACCACTTTTTTTGATCATGTGAGGCTGTAGTTTAGATTGAAACCGAGGTGGTTGATATACTTCAAGGTTGACAGTAGCGAGTTCACTGTGACCGAGTTCATTGGTGGCTTGGCAATGATAGACTCCCTCGCTACCGAGATGAGCGCTTGGTATCGTGTACTTATTTCCTGTAGCGAGAACAGTTGGTTTGATATCTCCAGTTTCTATTTCTCTGAACCAGCGGTACTGAGGAGCGGGCCAGCCTGGAGGCTTAGCGCTACAAGTCAAAGTCACCGCTGTACCCTCTTGAGCTATTGGACGATCAGGACTTATGAAAGCGTTGCCAGGCTTATGTCTTACGAGTACCGCGACCGATGCACTTCCAGCCTTTTCCACTTTATTCCCGCTACTAGATGATAAGAGATTGACAGCGCGACAGACATACGTTCCTGCCATATCTGCGTTTACTCGTGTTAATAATAGAGTATTTCCTTTCTGTCGAAAATCATTTCTACCCTCCATAGTCCACTCAATTGAAATAGGTTCAGGATTAGAAGACACTTCACAGCGGATTTCCACCGTTCCGCCTTCTTCAGCTTCATAGGTTTTAGAGTCTACGCTCACACTAGGAGGAAACAGGACATCCAGATATATTTCGTTTTCACCCGGATGTCCGAGTCCATTGTCAGCGCTACATACATATTTTCCTGCATCTTGAACTGTTACGCTTTTTATCATGTGGTTAAAGGAATTTGAAATGTATTTGCCCTCTCGCGTCCATCTCACTCCACTAACTTTAGGCTTAGCGTCCACTTTGCACATCATGTTTGCGGTTCCATCTATTTCGACTCTTAATGGGTTTTCTGGGCCAACTTCTACGCGTGGAAAATCTGTTAAAAAAGATAAAAAATCAACATATAATATATGTATTTTTATGTAAACTATATAAACGACACAAATGACATAATATTTTAATAATAATTATCTTATTTCGAAATAAGAATTATAAGTTAACTTTTAAAGATTTATTTATAAAGCACTCGGGAGTTCTGCTTTATGAATAAATAATTAAGACTTCCGTACAGACCACGACGGATGTACAATTTCTCTCTACAATCAATAAAATAGACCCGTTATTTTTGTTGTATATTTGTACAAAAATCTATTTTTCATCATCTACCATTATTTATTTAATGTATCATCTGGTGTCTTAAACTTGCTTTATTTAAGAATAACATTAGTCCCTGATAGCTATTTCAAAATAGTACATTGATGGTACATTAAAAATACAAACATTTTATCGTCATATCATCTCCAAGATCTAATCTTTCAAAAGAAAACAAAAGCAAATATACATAATATAGCGTGTATATGTATGTTTGTATGTGTGTGTGTGTATGTGTATATGTAGTATAGCACATTCTAAAAGGAAACGGACGTTCTAGTTTTCTCTTCTCCTGGAAGCTCAAACAACTGTTTACAGTACACGTCCAAATTAAACCCGGCAGTGCACTCTTCTTGGCTCATGTTTTTCATGTAGGTCACCTAATTACAAATATTACGGCATCTGGCAGTTATTACACGTGGATTTACAGGAAGCACGGAATTGCATGAGATAAATATTTTGACTATTACGAAACTTCGATCTCGAATCTCAACGAGTGATATAAACTATTCCCGTTACACGCTGCAGGCAAACCGTATTTGTACCTACTTTACTCAAAGAAATTACAACTAAAAAATATTTTAAAAAGAAAAAAGTAATTTTGTATTGTTCTAAGGTATATAATATAATACTAAAATAATACAAAAAAATACAAAAATATTAATCTATAATACAAATATAAACAATCCGGTCATTTACGTTTCAAGGAGGATATATTTAAATCAATGTCATCAAACATTACTTGTAAATAAAATAATTCGGTTTGTACTAGATATATATAAAACGTTACGTAGGTACATATTGCCCGCGAAATTTTACTTTATTTAAATTTTTCAAATTAAATATCTCAATAAATATATTGCAAATGGGTTGGCTAAAAAATTTCTGCCCAGAATATGATTAATTAGAAATTAATTTTGTTTTTTAACATTTCACTGGTCCAGTTAATAGACAAACTCCATACCAATCGAAAGCCTATAGAATATCTGAAATATGCAAACGTTAGGTTGGCTATTTTTTTTCCCGTCACAACTCTTGGGTAGGCAGGTATAAACAGATAAATCGATACTAATAACTTGCACTGGTATGGTTAATGAATTAAAGTTAAGTCAAAATAAAGATTAGATTAGATGAATATTTATAACCAATAGGGTTCATTGAGGATCAAACACCTTTCAGAATAGAAGACATTGAGGAAACAACTGAAACAGAAAGCGATGACGAAAAATGTTCTGAAGTTGGAGATCACAATTTTATGTCCGATGACTCGGATACTAAATAATTTGTAAATTTAAAAACTTGTCAATAATTGCTTTGTTCTTAACGGTCGCAGCGCGCTTTCTCAAGAAAGGCTAACTATTATTGCGTTAGTCTAATTATTGATAACTAGGCTTTAATAATAATAATAATAAACTCTTTATTGTACACCAAGAATAAAAGAAAAATAAATAAACAGAGAGTAGAAATGTACAAGAGGCGGCCTTATCGCTAAAACAGCGATCTCTTCCAGGCAACCTTTAGGTGTAGGAGATAGCAAACTGCAAGAGGGAAGGGGTGTAAATAATAGAGTAAATATGTATATCACAATATATAAAAAAAAAAAAAGTTGACTAGTAAGATGCATAAATATATATGTTTATACTAATAGATACATATACATATACTTACACAGATACGCATACCTATATATACATATATATTATATATAATAAAATATAATAAAATAAAAAAATAAAAAAAACAAAACAAAAGGCAAGACAAGACAGCTTACAAAGAAAGATAAGTTAAAAAATAACAATAATAATATTCGTATGTAAAGTGTATGTAAAGTCAAAAACTAAGAAAGTATTCTTTTAGCAGTTTTTTAAATATCGTTAGTGACTTCGCACGTCTGATATTAAGGGGAAGAGAGTTCCAAAGACGTGGGGCTGTTACAGTGAATGAATTGCTATAGAAGGAAGAGGAGTTAGAAGGGATTTTAAGGATAGGGTTAATATCAGAGCGAAGACAGCGAGAATGTGAATTACCAAGAAATTGAAAACGCTCCTTTAGGTAGGGTGGGGTACAGGGATCGAACAGAATACAGTACAGAAGATGAAGAATGTGAGTATTCCTGCGAAGGCAGATAGGGAGCCACTTGAGCTTCTTGCGAAAAAGAGAAACATGGTCATATTTACGTAAGCCAAATATAAACCGGATACAGAGATTTTGAAACCGCTCAAGTTTATTTAATTGCTCCTCTTTAATATCAAGGAAACTGACATCAGCATAATCAAGAATTGGTAAGAGGAGCGATTGTGCTAACGAAATTTTGGTGGAAATTGGAAGAAAGTTACGCAGTCTCTGAAGAGATGATATTGACGCAAACATCTTTCTACTTACCTCACTTACCTGTGCACTCCAAGACATATGTTGATCAATGGTTATACTTAAATTCTTTACAGTTTTACTGTAAGGTATAATAACACCGTTTAAAATGACATGTGGTAGAGTGTCAAAATTAATCCTGGCTATGAGCTTGGGACTGCCTATAATTATTGTTTGAGTTTTTAAGGGATTTAATTGCAATCCAAAGGACTCACACCACATAGTTATTTTTTTAAGGTTTATATTGATGTCATTAATAGCGCTAGGTAGATCTGAAATTTTTGATTGTGTTTATATTTGCAAATCATCTGCATATAGGTGGTAGAGAGAAGAGATATGCTGACAAATAGTATTAATAAACATTGAAAATAAGAGCGGAGACAACACGCCACCCTGCGGAACGCCAGCCTTGACTGGAAGCCAGTAAGAGTACGAATCGTGAATTCGTATACGTTGCCGACGTCCATACAGGTAACTACGAAACCAGTCAATTACATTAGGAGATATGTTAAGGGAACCTAAAGAAGCAAGCATAATCTCAAAATCAACGGTACCAAATGCATTGCTGAAGTCCAACAGGGTTAGTACTGTGACCTGCTGCTTTTCCATGCCTAAACGAATATCGTCAGTTATTTTAGCGAGCGCAGTGGTCGTACTGTGACCAGGAGGAAAGCCGGATTGCAAGGGATTATGAAGATTATGAGTAGAGAGGAATTGGGAGAGTTGACGCTGTACAAGACGCTCAAGGACTTTGGATAGAAACGGAAGGATAGATATGGGACGATAGTCACTAAAACTTGTAGGATTGTTTTTTTTAGGTAAGGGTATAAGTTGAGTTTATAATTTTAAATAAATTTTATTTCTTTTATCAGCAGACAAAATAAAAACAAACAAAGCAAGAATATATCATAAAAAAAAATTATATATAATAAGGATTGTTGTGTTTTATACAAAAAAATTGTAATAAAATATAATACAATGAATTTTTTTAGTCAATCCATTTGAAATATATTTATTGACATATAATTAGATATAAAATACTTTTCATCCATTAACCAGCTCGGTGAAGGTCGTCTTATACTGGGATCCTACACTATTTTACAGCCTCGGTGGTGTAGTGGAGGTCCTGAGTTCGAGTCCCGGGTCGGGCCAAGTTTAGTTATTGAGGCTTTCTGTATAGTAATCCTTAGTAACAGCCCGAAGATGGGAAGTTGGCGGTGTTTCACCCCCGTGCCTCGGAGAGCACGTAAAGCCGTCGGTCCTGCGCCTTAACTCTTACCGGTCGTGTCGAGTTGTCGTCCCACCGGAGTATGAGAGTGACAGGAATAGAGAGTGCACTTGTGTCTGCGCGTACACTTGTGCACTATAATATCTCCTACGCAGTTGGCTAGTCTCAATGAGATTAGCCACCGTGGCCGGAATCGGTCAGGAGAACATCATACTATTATATTATTATAATGTTGACTGACATATCGAATAGTAGATACTACTTTCCTACCTAATTAATTATAACAGCTTCCGTGTTTAATTTCTACTCTTATAAATAATAATACATTCAATAAATAAAAGATACTATCCGTAGTATCTTTTATTTATTGAATGTATTTTATTCCGATAAAAGGTTTTGTTTTCTGATGATTGACTCTTATGATATGTACCAAAGAATTATAGGAGAAAATTAGTTTTTTTTTCGGTACCGTATAGTTTATCTTTTAAAATATGGTGCATGTTTTTTTGTATAACTAAACCTAAATTATTAAATAAATAAAATGTTACACCTGAATTATGTAGAACACATTGAATTTTTACTTATACAGAGCATATAACATAGATATTTCGGTTTCTTACAAGACACGTTGTTTTTCATTTTTTATATTGCAAGTTGCAACTTGGTCGGTAACTGCAACAATCGTTATCCTTTTTTAACTTATTTCGGTCGAGTTGCACCTGCCGTGATCGCGAGCTGGTAAGAATACAGTAATGCATGACGCAGACGAGTTGTCGTCCTCCACACTATCGATTCATATATTATATGGTTTTTCGTTATTTTTAATCTTTTATTATACAAACTAAAGTGTTATGTTTTATAAGTTGGTAATCGATAGATTGTTTCGAATTTGTTAATACTGTACGATAACAATACGGTACACTTGCAGTTTCCATTAGATGGTAAATGAAACTCAACGAGCAAACTTATAAATCGAAAACAGAGTATATGGGATTACATAAGTTTGTTTTATATAGTTGGAGTATCTTTATAAACACAACAAACAAGTCACATTGAAAGCAAAGAATTAAAAAAAAATCACCAAAGTATTTTTTTAGTTTTTTGGATTTCTATACATACCTATTACCTACATATATCTATACATATAATAAAATTGTAACTAAGCCGAATCTGTACATTAAATATGTTTTTTTTTGGAAAATCTAATTGAAATAAATATTTTTTTCGATACAGAGGCCGAAGCTATAGTTTTTAGAATTTCTGTCTGTCAGTTACCACATCACAGAAAAACCACTGGAGGGATTTTGATGAAATTTGATATGTTGATAGTTGATTATCCGGGTCAACATATAGGATACTTTTTACCGCGGGAAAATATCTCATTTCTGGAAAAAAAAACTAAAACTGCATTGTAAGAGTAATTTAATATGTAAAACCTAAGAATTTGGTTTTTGGTCATCTGAACGCGGGCGGAGCCGCGGGCGATGCTAGTATATAATAAAATTCTAACCGAGTGGAATCTGCATATTAAATATTTTTCGGACAATCTTATTGAAATAATCATTATTATCGATACAGAGGCCGAATCTATAGTTTTTAGAAAGTGTGTGTTTATCTGGGAACGCATCAAGAGAAAACTAGAAAACAAATTTTGATGAAATTTTGATCATAGCTGGTTATCCGGGTCAATATGTACTTTTTACTGTGGGAAAATATCTCATCTTTGAAAAATCTATACTAAATGTTAAAACGTAACTAGATACGAACCCAAGCAGAGCGAGGGAGAGTCGCTAATCTTTCTATAAAGCTTTATCGTAAGAATGCTAATAGGTACACCATTTATCTCCTATTTATTATAAGGTTCTATTTTATATTGCTATATACTCGGACAAAATAAATATAATGATGTTTAGAAACAAAACACATTAATATATTAAGCCGTAGGCGGAGTACACCTACCCCCCTAACGTGCGTTCACCTTGTCGTGGTGGGGGGGCTCAGTAGTGCCCGGGATTCCAACCGGGCGCGAAGCTAAGAAACGCACAGGGAGGTTGCCCACTTCGGTGGGCGGTGGGAGGTGGCCCTCTTCGGAGGGCGGTGTAGCATGCGGGTTCCTCCTGGTACTTCTCTGATAGCAGAGTGGACCTTGGAGCAACCCCATGGTTGTGGTGGTCTGTTTCGGCAGACCTGCCGTCGGGGCGTCGTAGTTGAATGCGTAAGCGATCCTGCGACGCCCCATTAAGACGGGGGAAGGTTTTGTTGGGTTTTAGTGGGTAGTACTGGCTGTATTACGCCGGTGAGTCCCACAAGTCAAAAATGCATTTCCCAACGTTAAAAAAAAATAAAAAGGCGGAGTACACCTAGGGATTACAATTACAATACATAAAGATTGACATAGTAGTGCGTTTAACGAAACCAGTTTTACGCGTTACTATTTATATAAAGCGGTGGTTATCTATAGCACGGTAATGTAATGCATACAGTATTGCCACGGTAATGTAACGCATACAGTATTGCAACTCGGGTCTGTCCTTGAAATAATTACCTACAGCCGAGGGCCCGTACCCACGCGACAGGGCTGCCCGAGTGCCCGCCGGCCAGTATTTTAATTTCATCTACCTATTTTAAATAAAGCTATCTTTTCGGATTTTTGGTTCCCGACGTTTCGTTCATCTACCTACTTGAGTTCCTTTCTAATTTTGTTATTTCAAATATGTAATTTTTTATTTAAAAACTATTATTAGTAGATTTTATTCAAAAATCTCAAATTTATAAGGGTTGTGTGTGACCCTTATAAATTAGAGATTTAAAAATATTTGCGCCTCGACTGAGACGTACGAAAAGATTTATTGTTAAATTTAATAATACTTATAAAGAATCCGCATTGGGATAAAATAAATAATAAAAAGTAACAATACTTTAATTTTTATTTTAAATAGTTAATTTTTATTTTTGAAACATACAATGTCTGAACACTTTTTTGTTTGAAATTAGCGAAGTTACGGGAGGAATAAAGTGTTTATTTTTGTATAAAATTATAAAAGTTACATATCATAACCACCTTATACAATTTTCGTACGCATTTATACGATCTGGCAGCCCCGCACGGTTGTATACCGAACGCGACGCGCGTAGGTATAACTCGATTTCCGATCGTTTGTATGAAGATGGAATACTGTATGTAATATTACCGTGTCTATAGGTAGTTGTTGCGGATTAAATAGGAATCGAATCAACAATCAATTAAAGCTGCAAACAAGACCTAGTTTTTAATCATGAAGATACTTTTCAACATTTTTGCAAGCAACCCATAAAACGTAACGCTGCTCGTTACGTACATTTGAGTTTCACTTAATTGATATGAAATATATGTTAAGGCATTCCTGCACTCAATTCTTTACAAACAGGACGCTATGAACACTTGCATTTCTTAAAGCATGTTGACATTTCTAAACGGACTTTTTGCGAGATATTTGCTTTACTCGCTGCAAATGGAGCACAAACAAAAATTCTCATTTCTCGGCGCATCTCTATACAGTCTACAGAGTATCCTAATTTGTCATTCTTGTCGTTTGAAAGTTAAAACACCACCTTAGTTTACTCATACTGGTCAATTTTATTATATTCGTAATAGCTCTAGCTGTAATATAATAATTAGATACTACAGTTACTCTTAATGCAAACATATTTTTAAAACAACAGAGAGAAAATCCGTTGCCTAACTTGGACAATTTTTATATTGTCACTGGTGACCACCCCGTACATGTTCAGGCCTTAACTAAACCCTGAGCGTCTTTTAGTAAGTTTTTACTATTTATCAACCTACACCCCTACAGGAACTATACTACTATCTACTTATTTATGTGCCGGGAAAAAAAGATACAGACACATGACATAATTATCTCAACTACATCTGTGCTTATCACATCGATCGCTTTATTTGAATCAGTTATGTCTAAAGCTCAAGCGACTTAGCTGTACGAATGGTGGGTATCTACTTCAAAAGCCAATCAATAAAAATAATCAATCAATAATTTGCCCTTAAGAAAAGTTAAGTAAATAGGAATATATGGGTTTTATTTGATACCTAAGCATAATATAAAATCTTAAGCAGCTTACTTTAATATCTTAAATAAGCTTATAACACTTTGACGCACGAGGGTATCTATATACGCAGACGACGCCATCTTGATTTTATAATGGATAAGTATAATAGTGTAAACATCAGAATTAATTAATGAAATAATAAAAGTAGACTTTTCATATTTCTTTTATCAATTGTATAACGATTTTTCTTATTATCGTTCTATAGCAAAAATCTTACATAGACACAGAAGTCATTTAATATTATCATAGCAGCGTACAAAAAATGCATACAGCAACTCACATAATATAATAATAACAAATAGGTAGTTTTTTTAGAGTATCATAAAGAATCCCCATAAAAGTATCCTAGAATAAAAAGTATCCTATCGGGCGAGTTCCCTATAATAATTGCGCCATAAAAGTAGCAAATAAATTAACATAGCACAAAACTGGACAAAAAACATTTTTAGATTTGCTTTCATAATATTTATATCTATAACAATATAAAAAAGTTAACTAAGAAAATCAAAAGATATTCCATGAACGAATAGAAACTCTGTACGATTTTATTTAAAGAATATTAGTTTTTAGTATATACATATTGTACATATGTATGTAAATATATATATGTAGATGTGGGCAGTGTAAGATAATTAACCTTATGTATTTGCATGAGTGGTTCAAAAAAAATTACTATGATTAGCTGCATTTGTACAACACGTTTACTATATTTAGTTTTCGACAAACGCTGCATGTAGATACCTAAATGTGAAACATATTAAGATAAATAATTTTTGCGCGAAATTCTTAAAGGCAATAACTAAGTAGAGCGGTCATATTTTATGTCTTTTTATGTATATCGATGGAAACATATAGACTGATTAAAAAATTACACATTCCTGCCCTTCACTTTCCGCGAGTTTTAAACTGTACGTGTCATTGACGTTGCCCAATCGCTTTCTCCTTGTTCGGAATGAAAAGAAGACCAATCGAACGAAAATTCGGAAATCAACGTATCTAATAATGATAATAATTGATAAGCATAGCAATTTTATTTACAATAGCTAAACAAATTAACTGAAAACTTTGTTAGATATCTTTCGCAATACATATAAATGTTTACTAAATGACGCCTGCGTTTACGTAAGTTAAGGCATCGTTGCTAGAATACTAGTCTTAGCATCTAAGAGGAACCTTTGTTCAGGCGAAAAGCTAGTCTATGCCCGTTTCCAGAATAAGAGTTAACTATCTTCGTACCGAATTCCATTGCAGTACGTATGTATGTATGTATAATGTATGTCAATTAAGTAATAAGTATGTAACATACAAATTCCAAGGATGACAAGTTACATTAGAACATTAGAATTTAAAATTTATTAGTATCGATTAAAAAACCAGATTGTTATATATCGACATATTATCGTAACCATAGCATTTATTATAAAACAAATACAAAATATGTACTTACAATTCACGCTCAATTCTACGGTTGCTTCTAACTGCTGTCCCTCACGCATGGCACGGTTTCGTACCACGCAGCGGAATGTAGCGCCATCGTCGTCGCGATTAGGCTCAAGTGTCAGTATAGCTACTGTAGGCTCTGCTCGTATTTTGCCTGCTATTACATCAGCTTCCATGGCATGGATGGACCCATCTCGATACCACCTGATTGCAAAAATATACATGTTATAACTTTTACTACACACCTTAACTTCATTCGTATGAAAAACATCAAAGAGAGTGTAAAAGAAATTAACTGTTAAAATAAATCGTTAGGTTATGTAAAGCCATTTTTCACGCGTGTAAGTGTTGTTTTTACTAACAATTACGTGAATATTGCTTCACTTGACGCTTGATGTAATAGTTACTCTTATAAAGTGTATACGACATTAACATATGTATATGTACATATGTATATGTACATATTATAGTTTCCCCTTTGGTATAATAATAATAAAATAAAACTGATGTACCTATGTAATAACTATAAACTAATGCAAATTTAATTTATTCAGAGTATTTTATAGTATATATATAATCAATGAGTGAAAAAGAAGACGTAAAATAAACTATTTTTGCAAAAATGTTTATTAAATGAGATATGCCATAATCAATATAGGACAATCCTTTTTAAGACATTCAATTAATACAAATGATCTTAACATAGCGCCGTAGTCTGTCATAGTAAGAATATGCATAAACCCGTTAACTAAAATATGAAAATCAGTCATCGAGAGTGCTTTAAACTTTTGTTCAGGCTAACTTAATTGTCCTTATATACATATATTAAGGAATATTATTTTTACTTCATAATGCACGCTCTCACTGTAAGTTTAGTCAATAAATTAAATATTAAAAAAATATTACGTATTTTTCTTACTTTATAATTGGACTGGGAGAGCCACCTGTACTTGAACAAGTAAGATTTAACTGTCGACCCTCTTGCGCCTGAGCCTGTGGTCCAGAATTTAATATTGGTGGTTGAGGCTGCGTGAGGACCACTAGATTGTAGCTTTGTGAATGTAGAGTCCGCCCTGATCCTCCAGCTTTAACTCTGCACTCAAACCGACCGTTATCCCGTTCATACGTTACATTCGACACCATAAGATCATAACGACCTTCTGATGGAGCGTAATTAATTCTGAAAAAGAAACAATATTATAAACATTGTTGTAATATTACGAGCATTGCCGTCTTATATTGGTGGCTTTCTGCCTTAAAAATGTTTAATAAATTGTCCTCTCTTTTGTATCTGTATTACAGATTTGTGTCTCTTATTCTGCAGGAACCGTATTTTAAACTATGAGAACCCTAGCCGATTCCTAACACCTTATCTAAAAAAAATCCTATTATTTTTCTACGATTAAAACGCTAACGTATATGAAACGCAAGTACCTTTAAAAGTAATCATACTCAGTTTGATCAATCAATACAGTAATTTCCGCATATGAACTAACGGAGTCTTCATATAATTTTATCAATCATCTCGCGAGAATTCTTGCATCTTGCAAAATAAAAATATATACATTATGTATTTCTATACATCGTAAAAACAAATATCTATTTATAAAATGACAAAAATAATAATAGTTGTGTAAGTTTTGACTAGTATACATACATACCGATTAGACCTTAATGTTAAGGCAGCTTTTTTGATATCAAAGATAAAACAGCATAATAAACTTTTTAAAATTTTGGAAATTGCAAATATGTTTGGTTTTTGAAAATATGGATGTTAAGTAAGTAGATGCTTAAATTTGTATATTAAATAATGTTAAATTTGTAAATCATAATTTTTAACTCCCGATGCAAAAATAGGGGTGTTATAAGTTTGACGTATCTGTCTGTGTATTTGTCTGTAACATCGGAGCTTCTAAGCGAATGGACTGATTTTGATGCGGTTTTTTTGTTTTTTGTTTATGAAGATCTGCTCAGGCGTTTGATGCGTTTGATGATCATCAGGTTATTTGCTACTTGACAAAAAGGTCTTACTAACTTTCGCAGGTCTGATTGATTTAAAATTTGGTGTACTCTTGCTTCGGTAGTATTTCCAAGATATGCTAACCTTGAGCTAATGTTGTAGCATCAATTAGTATGCAGGATGCTCAATTTCTCAGAAGCTTACAGATGATATAGCGTGTTTGAACTCATAAGAATAGTCTCAACGAGAGTTATCTATTAGAATAAGTGTCCGCGAGTCATTAAAAAAGAATGAAGTGGAAATAACTTAAATTTTAAATAACCCCGCGACACAAAAAAAAGCTCTAAAAAGTACAAAATACCGACGCAGCAATGCTTATCCTCAAAATATTAATACTTTTAATGAAGTTAAAAGGTCAAGAGAGAAATTTTTTTTTTACATATTATAATATAAATACGACAAACAAAAAAAATTGTAATCGAAACAAATTTAGCAAATGCCAAAAATACTGGTAATTTGAAATCTTTTTATGTATACTTATTTTATTAACGATATCTTAATTAATTATCTACCTACTATGACTCGTCCCTAAAGTTTAATTTAAGTTATACATACATATATGTATATCGGATAGAGTTTAGTAAAAAAGTGGGTCCTTGGATAAGAAATATTAAAACTGGTTATTTAATTCCAATTTATATTCCATATAAATAATCAATTTTTCGCTTAGCCCCGACTTAACTTCACCAGCGCCCGTTAATTGGCCTTCACAAGATTAGTTAATAAAATCATACTTTGTATCATGTGCCTTCGTAAAATTAATCTTACAAAAACTCCAGTTCTATGTATTATACTTTGGACTCTCGGGTATTTGAATTGCGAAGAATATTCTAAAGTAGGTTCTGAAGGTAACACTAGAGCCGAAGAGACACAGCACACCTTTGCTCAAATAGAGAATCTGCAATTTTGTACAACTATTAAACATTTAAAAGGTACTTCGCTACATATGTTTTTAAGCAAGATTTTATTGTTCACAAAATATTTTTTCCTAATAAATTAAAATAATATGATAATGATGTTGACAAAGTAACCATGCTTACCATCTAAAGGAATTCAAGGTAATATAAATTCGACTCAACAACACATACACTATTTGTCGCTTTGGGTTAGAGTGTTATGTCGCTATAACTGTATTAAATGTAATAATATGTTTATATATGTTTATGTATATAATATATAATATGTAATATATATATATATATATATATATATATATATATATATATATATATACATACTTGTACAAGTTCTTTTTGTACTTCGTTCTATTAAAGTTTGATTAAATTAGTATCTTATATATTTTTATCGGCTCACCCTCGCTTCGCTCGAGTTCGCCTTTAGAAAAGCACAAACAGATCTATCTCACGGGAACCGTTGATTTTTCCGAGATAAAAAGTAACCTGTTTTTTTTACCGGCAGTATAAGGTATCAGCATGCCAAACTTTACTAAATTAGGTGCATAAGTTGTTGTGTACTAAGCTGTATAAGTTGCTATAGTTTTTTAACTATCCCACGGGAACTCTTTCATTTTCCGGGATGAAAAGTATCTTAAACGTTGACCTGGGATATAAGGTACCACCTTGCAAAATTTCATTTAAATCGGCTCAACAGATTCGGAGATTAGCCCGTACAAACAGACAAACAGACAAACACACAGAGAAATAGAAAATTTGAGAAAAATCTGGATTTGTTCTATTTCTCTTCTTACACTCCCCTGACTCGGTTTTTAGCATTTTCAATCGACCTCCTCAAAAAGGAGGAGGTTCTCAATTCGGCTGTATATTTTTTTTATGTTTGTTACCTCAGAACTCTGTGATTTATTAACCGATTTGGACAATTTTTCTTTTGTTTGAAAGTGTATACTTCCAGATTAGTCCCATTTAAATTTCATAAAAAAATACCACCCCTAAGGGTGGAAAAATAGCTAATGATGAATTTAACGCACTTCTAATTGTCATAGCCAGCCGATACAAAGCAAAGCACACCGACTTCGAAAATATTTGATTAGGTATGTATGTAGGATCCGGGGATACTAATAAAAGCGTTTATATCACTATTAACTATTTATTATATTAAAAATTATAACTAACAATGTTCACGCGAATCGTCGTGTCGTCATTATGACACAACATTTTTCTTTTCTTTTATTCATCTATTTCATTCCATTCTTAAAATTCTAACATACGTCTCCTTTTATTCTTAAAATATCATTTCATGCATACTCATCTTGCAGATCCTACATGTATAGTAAATGAAAACTACCAATCAGTTATTTTTTACTTTTTAGTGCTTTTGTTTGAAGTCGGTTTTTATTTTTTTGTTAATAAGTTTTTATTTTTCTATGTACAGACATTCGACCTCTACAGTTTTATTATAGTATAGATATAACTTTGTATGTTTATTTACATTTAGGTTTAATTAGTAATGTACACTTTTATGCACCTTTTCCGCTTTTTTCTTATATTTTTTTTGCATCCTTCTCTATCAGTAATCTGTAAGATATCGCATAAAGTAATAAGGCTGGCTTTGTACAATTCTTTAATCGTATTTCTTTTTTCTTTTATATACCATTCTACTGTCCAATAAATAAATAATAGGAATAATAATAATTTTCTATTTCAAATACTTATACTAAGACTGGTTTTGTTTGTTCTTAATTATACAAAAAAATGAGCCTAATTAAGTCTACTTACTGGTAATTAGTCTCCAAAGGAATGTTGCCGATGGCGACGTTGTCGTGTTGGCTAACCGTACTTCTCACCCAGTAATAGGTGAGGGACTCGCCGACGACCGGGTCTAGGGAGAAACGGCACTGCATGGTCACGTCGTCGCCTTCTCGAGCATCGTGCTGCTCGTCCTCACAGTATGCGTACCTAAAAACTGCAACAAACAGAAATACAGACGAGTTAATTATAATCAGAGTACTATTATAATAGCGATAGTTTGTGTGTATGTTTGTTACTTCTTCACACTAAAACGGCTGGGCTGGACGGGTTTTCATGTTTAGCATTCAAATATTATACTACAACCTGGGCAACACTGTTTACTACGAGTATTTGACATCGAAGGACGCACCCCAGTGAAGCGAGGCTAAGTCGATAGTAGTTGTTTCTGACAATAATTACTATTTAAGCGTTTAAGAAGTTAGTGCAGTCTTATAGTCTCAGTTTATAAACCGATAAAATTTTTCTTATCATGAAAATATGGTTGGAATTAATAAAGCGTAACGTTGTCACGGAGTAAATTCTACATTTTCTACACAAAAGAGTAACATTGTACAAGGAAATGTATAATTGTACAATTAAATTATCTATTCTATAAAAATATTTATAATTGTACTGTTATACATTTTTTTTTTAAATATCATGTCTTGGGGGATGTTTAAGATTTACCTTTTAGAAGACTTATGCACACAAAGCTACCCAAAACGGAAATGGTTACGCTGAATGGAGCACGTGTATCAAATGGAGCCCTCCCTTTGCCTAGAAAAACCTCTCTTGCGGAAATAGCTCGTGCAAAGCAATTAGGCCGTCCGTTAAACGCTGTATGGAGACTAATCGATTGTATGGAATGATATGGATTCTTTGGCATAAAATTTTTTTACTGAGAAGAAAAAGTTGGATATAAGGACCAATAGAAAAAATCATGTCAGATGGCCTTAAATCTCCCGATACGGCTTTATTAGGTATAAGGGTAAATAAATATTTCGCCACATTCTTTGAGCCCGTAAAACGTAGCGTGCCAGCGCTGTGGTCGCTAGTGCGTATCCCGATTTCCGTGTTGAATTTCACCACGACCTAGGCCCTACTAAGTCTAAAAGTAGTAAGGAAAAACATCTGCAACTTTCAGATTTTTACACATGTCTCTCAGTTTAAACACATGTTAGGTACGTACTCGTAAACGGCTCGGTGTTAATGGGACTTGGTATTCATTTTATTCAATCAAAAGATATATATCTATTACTTGTTCTGCAGATTTGGACTGTTATCAAATGTTGAAAACTACCTACTGTATCTATAAAAATAATTTTTAATATTTATCTTAAAAACAACATAAAATATAAATCATTCGAATTATTTTAATTATCCATCCAATCCAGCACTCCATTTATGTCTCTTAATGTAATAATATGTAAAAGCTATTTTAATGTATGGCTTCACTAGGTATAAACTACTCGTATGTAAACAGGACAAGGGTATGTTAAGAGGTTTTAATGCTACAGTAAAACAAAATAATGATGTATAAAGGTACCGTAAATGAAAAAAAAATGGGAAAACTCTTTGGAATGTCTCTTACTCATAGTAAATAATTCTTTTCTATTAAAAGTACATGGTTTTTTTATCTAAAAAAATAATCTAATGTTTTAAAAGCTGGAAAAAATTAGCGATTTTATAAAAAAAACACTCTATCATTTGTTGAAACGGTAAACGCTAACAGTTTCATTGCTTCTAGCTATCTAAGACGTCGTTATCATTAGCTTTCTCTGAATTTATTATATTATATAAAAATTTAATATATTATTTATAAATATAATATTACTATATAATAATATATTATTATATTACTATATATAAATAATATATTACAGTTTCATAAAAGTATTTATTTTTATGAATTCATCGCATCGAGGCGTAAAACTTTCAACACTATGATAATTGCGACGAGCAGAGTAAATGTCAAGTATATTATCAGAGTTCACCAACCACATTTCTTACCATAAACGATAACAAATTCGACTAAATGATATTGAAAGAGGCGCAAGAGTTACTACAAAGCTTAGCGGTCAACGACATGAGGACTGAGGTCGCGTGCGCACTGCGCAGCCTGTCGTATCGCTCTCGCGGGCCGTAGTGGCTGGCTACTGCACCGGGCGTAACTTAAGTGACACCGTTTTGAATGTACGCAAGTATAAGAAGTAATAAAAAGATTCTTTACTATTTTACTAAGTGAATAAATATTAATGACATCTACCATCCCGAATAGACAAATTAATACATTTTTTGTCATTTTATAGGTACATATATTAAAAAAGACCTAAGCTAAATGTAAACTGTTAGTATTTTAAATAAACTTAAATTTTTCAATACTTCGAGCATAACACTGCGCGTCTCTTAAGAACATTCAAATTATATAAACTCGAGCTGTCACGACCACTGAAGTTTACTGTTATTTACGTGAACTAATAAATAACTTAACGGGATAAAAGTAGGCTGCATACCCTTCCATGCCATGCACCTAAGCGCTAAATTTTATCATCTCTAGCAATGTAGAGACGTTGCGGCATCAAATAAACTAATATAATAATTTGAGTTTCAATGAGCATGAGCTACTTATTCAATACATATTTTGTATTTATTTACTATCACGAGAATATATGTATGTAGTAACTGTCTAATTTATTTTTAACGACGACTAACTTTTGAATCTACCTAGAATAATTATTTTGATTACTTCTATTAGACCTATTAAAATCAGATGCAATATTATAAATAATTCATACCTATATATTGACTTGAAAATTCAAACCCATTAAGGTCAAACAACTACATATTATATTTTTACGCATATTATTAAGTAGCTTTTGCCCGTGGTTCCGCTTGCGTAGTTGATTTATATATTTTTGCTCCACTGCAAAGAAGCATAACGTGATGTAGGTGAGGAAGCCTTCCTCATTAAATAGGCCATGAAATCCAAAAAGAATTTGAAATTTAAATTTGATTGCCAACTTGAGAAATTACGATTTGGGATTAGAAGAAAATGAATCGTTTTATTGAAACTAATAAGTTAATCGCAATTTAATTGTAAATTACAGTGTCTAATTTATATAATTGGTTGAGCTGGTGAGGCGTTAATTAGATAGTTCGTCAGAAAGAACAGCTTTACTTTTTTAATTAATCAATATATTATAAAAATATAAAAACATTATTTTGTAAATATTTAAAATATAATATAAACCAAAATTACATTTTTCATGTTTTTAATTACCCTACATGTACGTCAGTCAGATCGTGCTTCATTCAAGAATTTCTGAAGAAATATCAAGGTGATTTTTTACTGCATAAATACTCGTAGTTTAAAATAAAAACATTAAGTTATATTTCAATCAGCCGTGTTGCTCTCCCTCTTCTCAAATGTCTCCAATATATCCTTCGTTAAGTCTATATTTAAATGTGTCGTACAGGAAAGGGACTACACTATTGTTTTTTTTTATTATTTTTCTATGAATGCACATCTGTAAGACTGCTAAACGCTGCCAACTTTAAGTATTCTCGAGATAATAATATTATGTATCTATAATAACAACATAGCATCGTAACCGCGTACAGTGGTTTCTACGATAGATATGTTTTGAAAACGTTGAAGCCATGAACAGATGTATAACGATGTATCTGGCTGGTATTACGAAGACTATTACCATTATACACCTAGTACACCTAATACCTACCCACAGGACTGGTCTTGATTTGATTTCTTCACGAAGATAATTTTTGTATTAAACATCGTGTACACTAAACATAAATATGCACCTTTCTCGTGCACGAAAGGGAAAAATGGAATTTTATAGCATCATTCATGTGTCTGTATCTCTGTCTGAATTAAATTTCAACAATAATAATCATGACTTTAAAAAGCTTGTTATCTATACTCTATACATATAATAAAATTGTAACTAAGCCGAATCTGAAGATTAAATATTTTTTGGAAAATCTTATTGAAATAAACATTATTATCGATACATAGGCCGAATCTATAGTTTTTAGAATTTTTTTCTGTCTGGCTGTCTGTCTGTTACGGCAACACAGAAAAACCACTGGAGGGATTTTGATGTGGTATGGTGATAGCTGGTTATCCGGATCAACATATAGGATACTTTTTATCGCGGGAAAATGTCTTATTTCTGAAAAAAAATACAAAAACTGCAATCTAAGAGTATACTAATATGTAAAATCTAAGAATTTGGTTTTTGGTCATCTGAAAGCGGGCGGAGCCGCGGGCAATGCTAGTGAGGAAGGAATACTAATTAAAAAATATTTTTACATCCGTTATCACTTTATCAAAGTTAGTAAAAGAATTAATGTATAGAAATATGTGGGCATTGTCTTTTATATTTGAACGTATAGGTTTAGTATTGAAATTCAGCATTAACGTCCATCCCAAATCTTAACTACGAAACAACTAAACCGCGAATTTAAATGAACATGAATTATTCTTATAGTTTACTGAAAAAAAATATTGAACATTTTCTTATAATACATATGTATATAAACATTCACGTTTCACATATTATGTAAGTACGGCTTGGGGACCGCCACTCCACACATGAGCGGTCAGGCGTTTCTAGTTTCACTGTCATCTCCGTAAGAGAAATACATATACATATCTATAGATACGTAGATTGTGTTGCAATAAAGTATTTTTGCATTCTCTATATTATGTTTATTTTATCGAAAATACGTACAGTCAATTTTCTAACTGAAATTTTTATTGTAACTATTTAACTACTCAAGTGTAGGTAGATAGATACTAAAGCATCCTGTAACTTGTAAGTAACATCTATACTTATTATAAAAATAAGTCCCCCGGCCGCGTCTTTCTGTCCTCCTGTCTGTCCTCCTGTCTGTCTGTACGCGATAAACTCGAAAACTACTGAACGGATTTTTATACGGTTTTCAACAATAGAAAGAGTAATTCTTGAGGAAGGTTTAGGTATATAATTTATTATGCTTTTATGTAAATTAGCTGAAATACGGCGACAAATGTTGAAGAGGTCGCAAAAAATCTCGCCAAATGGGAACTTTCCACGCGAACGCCGCGTAAACAAGCAAAGATACAGTTAAGTAATGTACTAGAGAATTCAAAATCTATAAAAATGCTACAAA